GAGGTCGCCATAAAATCCAGGACCTCTTTAGCCCGGTTATCCATCAGGTCGTGAGAGCTCCAACAGCTGGAGGGCCGGTTTATACTGTGGCGCCTGTAGGTGATTTGCAGAGAACTCGAAAGGTGCATCGTGACATGCTGAAAGCTGGGGTTGGGCCAGAGCCTACGCCAGTACCCCTGCAGTTAAAACCTACCTTTCCTTCAGGGGGACTGGATGACTCTTTGGAGGATGATTTGTGCTTATTGGTCCCCGATACTTCAGTACCATCCACCTCTGCAGCTCCACAGGTTGCTTCAGGACATGGTCACCCTGCTCAAACTTCTGGGACAGCTCCTCTACCCTTGCGTCGCACTGTTCGTTTCAGGGCTGGTCAGCACTCGAATGTCCATCACCATCCTCGACCTGTGGGTCATACTGCAGGATCTAGTCAGCCAGTCTCCAACTCCCAGTTAGCAGTTTTTCGTCCTTGGTGCTGAGGTTTGTAGATTCATCGTCGGGGCGACGATGCAACACAGGGGGGTAGAATGTGGTGGGATGGTGTTCCACCCTCCCAACTACACACACCAGGTGTAGTGACTGATTGGTGGGCGGGGCAGATAGCTTTAAAGCTGAGCAGCCCGCTGCGAGGTGCGTGTGCCTTGTTTCCTTACTGTATGTCGGCTGCCCAAGTGGCTGGTGTGCTTGATCCGCTCATCCAAAATAGTAAGTGCCATTTTGCCATCTGGGCTGGGGATTGTTGTCGGGTTCTGGTGCAATACCTGCCGTGCGTTTCTGCAGCGTTGCGCAGCTGGCGTTGGCGGCTGCAGTTGGAGGTTGGTGCGGCGAGCGGCTTCCATCCGGCCCTCGCCTGCTGATCCGCTCCCTCCCTGGTCGGCTGTGTCACCACATCTGGGTAAGCTACGGGTTTAGAATTTAATTTATTTTTACCTGAATCCACCATTAACGAGTTTTCTAATTTAGGATTCTTCCGGAGTTGCAGCGCTTGGATGCTCCTGCTGTCTTGTCTTGTCTTGCCGGTTTTGTTTGGGCCGCTCTCGGTGGAGCCTGCTGACGCTTGGGCTGGCGGAACGAGCAGGGCACGACTCCTCTGGCCCCGTGAAAAGACATTAAAGTCAGACAACGACAGTTTGTCCCATTGTTTGCAGTGGTTGTGTTCTTTTCTTTGCCGTTTGTTTGCTTATTATTTAAATTACTAATTTGTTTGCTTTCCTTTGTTTTGATTTACTAATTTGTTTTCTTTTGCATTGCATGATTTGTTTGTTCATTAATTTTTTGGGAATAATTTAAATTGTCCTTATTTTGATGCCTTTTCCTTCTAGGGGCTGAGTAGTGGGCCTGAGGCCATGTTTTAAAAGAAAAATGTTTTAATGAAATTGGTTAATAAATCATTGGAGACTACTCCGTGCTCTGGTGCGTCTTGCCTAAAAAAAACATCTACCCCCTCTGCTGGTCACATATGTATATATATATATATATATATATATATATATGTATGTATATATATATATATATATATATATATATATATATATATATGTACATATATCTGCATAGAGGCTCTCATCATGGCTGCACAGGAGCAGGCCCTGAGCACCAGAGCAATAGAGACCCAGACCCACCACACCACAGAGACAGACCGAATGGTAATGACAAACCAACCGGACATTGTGGTGGTGGACAAAAAGCAGAGGAAAGCCGTTGTGGTCGCCATAGCAACACCAGGTGACTGCAACATCAGGAAAAAGAAAATTAAAGCCTAAAGATACCAGGGGCTCAGAGAAGATCTGTAGAAAACCTGGAAGGTCAAGGCATCAGTGGTAGCCGTGGTCATTGGGGCCCTCAGGGCAGTGGCCCCCAAACTGGAGGGGTGGTTACAGCAGATCCCTGGAAATACATCAGACATCTCGGTCCAGATGAGTGCAGTTCTAGGAACAGCAGAGATACTGGCAGAACCCTCAAACTCCCAGGGCTCTGGGAGAGGACCCCAGCTTGGGGGAAAAAAGGGGGGAAGACCCCCCACAATGGGTGAGGAAGAGTTTATACATTTATATATATATATATATATATATATATATATATATATATATATATATATATATATATATATACATATATACAGTACTATGTTTTGTGCTAAAATTGTTTAATTTATCTTATGTTCTTTCAATCCAATCCAATTTTATTTATAAACCACTTTAAAATGGGAGACATAAAATAAAAAAATAAAAGCATAAAAGAGATAACTAATTTTTTTTGTGAACCTCTTTAACGGCCGACTCTTATCAATCATAGACAGGTTTCAGGTATTACAGGAGACAATCCCCCCCATAACGACAATCCCCCCCCTTTAATGACCGACCCTCAGAATCATAGACAGGTTTCAGATATTACAGGCTAACGATGGAACCAAACGACCCATTCATCGGTTCCATTTGCATGTTTCCCAGCGATACCAGGCTTTGTCTATAAAGACTCACTGCGGATCCAGACATTAGAATGAGAAAGCTTACTGGAGAGGAAGCGAAACGTCTTCAGACCTTGGAAACCAAGTCCAGTGGATGTTTTTACATTTTTACGGAATGACTCTGACCTGGATGCCTGAGAACCATCCTCAGCAGATAACAAAATTAAAACCAGAAATATAAAATCTATAATAAAATAAAATGAAATTAAAATAATTTAAAATAATTGATAACAGGCTGAAATCAACATCTTTTGAAATCTAAGTTTTAGAGGCGATTTATAATCAGACAGAGAGGTAGACTTTGTAATCCACATTAGAAGGTCCTTCCACATTCTTGGAGCACGACCCCCCCCACCCCCAAAAAAAGAGAGAAGCAGCTGATTGGCTGACCTGAGTGAGTGGGTGGGTGTATAATGGTGCAGCAACACAGAAAGATAAGATGGAGCAACACCGCTGAAAGGACAACTCGCTGTTGGAAGTTAAAACCAAATAAACTTTAAAATGAATCATAGACTGTTCAGGGAGGATGTGTAGTGAGTCTAAAATGGGGGTAATGTGTTCATTTTTAAAATTGCTAGATTAAAAACATGCTGCAGCATTTTTCACTCTCTGGAGTTAAGCGATGGTGGAGACACTAACCTCCAGATAAAGTGCATCACAGTAATCCAGCCTGGTAATGATGAAGGCGTGGATTATTATCCCTAAATGATCTCTAGAGAGAATTTGGTCACCTGCCCTAAATGAAAGAAACTTTTCTTAAAGTTTCCTTTATCTTGCTGTCAGATTTAAGATCAGCATCCACCCTAAATGCACCAGGGAGCGTTATCACAGATCCTTCCTCCCAGCAGCTGGAAGATTCTAGAACCACCACTGTTCCCAGCAACGTCAACCAGTTCTTCCATTCATGCTGATTCTGCTCAGTTTCTACCTCAGTCAGTTAAATAACCTGCTGCTGTCATCCTGCACATCTCTGATGTTGCTGCTATTTTCAAACATCTATTACTGGTAAAAATGTCCATAGCTGCATATTTGGTTATTTATTCTCCAGTTTTATATTGTTAAACTCCTTTACAGTATTTTATTGTTTATCTTTTAACTCTTCACTATTATCTTATTCTTATACATTTTTCTAAGGTCCACATTTGTGTGACCATTTTTTCTATAATCTCTTTGCTGCTGAAAACACCAGAATTTCCCCATTGTGGGACAATAAAGGTGTTTTCTATTCTATTCTATTCTATTCTATTCACTTTGACACCAAGGTTTGTGATACCTGACTTCCTGTTCTGGAATAGAAACCTAGTTCAATGGAGGAAAGCTCAGCTGTGCGGCTCAGTCTGACTCTTAGTGAATCTTAAAAAGTTAAGGACCATCCAGGTCTTCAGGTCTTTCCAACATCAGGCTAATAGAGTTCCCATCTTCTGTGCTTCATGGAATATAAATTTGGCTGTTATCAGCACAACAATGAAACCCTGTTCTCATTATTCTCCCAGCGGCAGCAGATAAAGGGCAAAGAGAAGTGGGCCCAGAACTCAGCAGTAATATGATTTTAACTCATCCTGTGGTTAAAACAGGATGAACGTCTAGTGGACTTGAAATTTCCCACGATGCACCTTAAAAGTAGTGATCATCCATGATCACTAGATGAGCAGATATATCCCATAATGCTTTGTGACAGCTCTCCTCGCAAAGCATTCTGGGACATGCTGTCACAGCGACCCGCCATAGGCTGTTGCTACCCGACAGCGGTGACTAATAACAAAAATGACGCAGGGATCGTGCGGTGGAGGAGTTTTAAAAATTTTAAACTAGAAATGTTTAAACTATAAGCAACACCATATTGTTTTTAGATTTTTTCTTTTGCAGTTCAAAAGCTCCCATGACTTAAATACCCCTAAATAAAAAAAGGAGAAAGATCTTAATTTCTGGACATCTCATAATGTGACCAATGGCAAGAGGCGTGTTGACCAGAGAAGCTGCAAAAACATCCAGGGTCCCTCTGGAGGAGCTGCAGGGATCTAAGGCTCATCCTGGAGGACGTCCTGGAAAAGGCTGAGAAGGAATTAAATGTATGCAGCACTTTTCTGATTTTCCCTTGTTAAATAATGTAAATAAACCACAAAGCTGTGCCTCTGTGTGTCGCTCTCTATAGAGAGTTCGGCTAAAATAATGAGTCTTGAACTTGTTATTGAAGAAGATATGGAAAAACTTAAAGGAATTTTACGAGTCAGTGTGAAAAAAAGGAATGAATGAAACATGAACCTATTAGATGGTAGATATCACCTGTTAAGTGATTATTAGTCATTTACTCCAACATTTAGTTCTAATTTATAGATTATGTTAATATGATAACAAAATGAAAATAATTTTAAGCCTGATGTGGGCCACTTGATCAGGTTTATGCTGGTATTGCAGGCATAGTTACCACACGTGTGCAATGTTTGCTAAAGTATGCTGGTCAGTGGGTTTGTTGTTAAGGCACAGAACAATAAAGCATAGCAGCTCGCGGCGCCGTGACTCATGTCAGCATGACGGGTGTTGCTGGGGGCTTCCTGACCCTTTGCTTTGGACAAAAGGCAAGAGGCTCCTGCGACAGACTGGGAAAAACCAGTCATGAGAATCCAAGATGCTGCAAGAAGAAGCGTCTGTGGAAACGAGAGGAAAACAGAACAACGCAACTGAAGGCAAGGATGGTTCAATTTTAAAATATATTCTATCCTTTTATTTACAAAAACAGGTCTGTTCTCAGAAAAAACACATTGTTAAATAAATGGGCTCTGAAGTTTTAATTATTTAAGTTTTGTTAAAATCCTAAAACAGATTTTTACTTGATGTTTATCATGTTTCATGTGAATAATTTAATAATAGTTTTCAACTCTTAAAGCGATCGATGCAAACGATTATTGTAATAAAGTTAAAACTGAAACGTCAGATTCTGCCGAATCTAAAGGAAAATTTCTTTTAGATTCAGACTTAAGAAAATAAATCACATCTGATGTCATTTTCTTCTTATCTTTGTTGACTTGCAAATAATTAAATGATAAAATTCATTTTAGACTGTTTTCTTGCAAAAGGTTCCATTATTTTTACTTTCTTAAAGAAACATTTAGTAAAGTTTTACAGTTTAGTTTAGTCAAGGCTCCCTTTGGATTTTCGAAGCTGCTAATTAATGTCAAACATCGTTATAAAGTTACCATTTTATTAGCTCTGTTCTTATGTCTGACATGAACTCCCATCTTAGTTAAAGTTATATTGGTCGTCTGGGAGTTAATGAGCTCTCATCAGCAGGTGTACAATAAAAAGGGGCGTGACTTCCAGAGTCATTAGACTTAGATCCAGACCAATGACTAAACCAGAGACGGATGTTCTGAGCAAAGGCCTGAATTTTGCCATTTCTCCACAAGAAGTACCCATTGTGGAACTGATCACTGCCACTGAATCGGCCATCAGGAACAACAACCTGCTGAAACTGAGGCAGAGCGACTCAGAATGAAGGTAACAGCTACCCTGTCCAGCGCCAAACCACCTCCTTCCAACCTCACACCCCAGGAGATGAAAGCCATAACATCTCTGAGCCAGGACCAAAGCATCACCATATTACCAGCAGACAAAGGAAGATGCACCGTAGTCCTCAACACCTCAGACTACCAGGACAAAATGATCACTCTACTGAAGGACAGTAATACCTATGAATCCTGGAAAAGAGATCCAACCAGCGGCTACAAAAAGAAAATAATAAACTATCTCAAACAACTTGAAAAAGACACGGTAATTAACAGCACAGTCTATTTCAGATTATATCCAGGGGAGGAAATTCCAGCTTATATGGACTCCCAAAAAATCACAAGGAAGGAGCTCCACTCAGGCTCATTGTCAGCAGCATTAACTCAGTAACAGACAACATTGCTAAACAGCTTATTAATATCTTAGCTCCCTTGGTGGGGAACACACCACATCACATAGAAAACTCCAAAGACTTTGCTAACAAAGTCAAACATTTAAGGATGGCAGCAGGAGAAACCCTGGTATCGTTTGATGTTACTTCACTTTTCACATGCATACCGATAACAGAGGCAGTGGAAACAGTCAGGACACGTCTTCAACAAGATGTTGATTTAAACAACAGGACTAGTTTCACTCCGGACCAGATCTGCACACTACAGGGCCTTTGTCTTTCCACAACCTGTTTCACATTCAGAGGTAATTTTTACAGACAGAAGCATGGCTGCGCAATGGGATCTCCATTGAAACATGAAGAGGCTTTACACTCATTCATTTTGGAGATGGACGTATTCGCCGTTTTACCAACAGGTTGTTTGTTTCCACCCCCCTACCAGCTTCCTGTCGCGCTTCCTACGTCACAGTCAGTGGCTCTCATTGGTCAGAGCATTGGCCAATAGGCACAGATATGGTTTGAAAAACAACATCAATAATCTCCTGATGTCTCATTAATCGGGGCCAGACTAAATGACACAAATTACACATTTAATCTCACATTTAGTCTGGTTTATCAGGCTATATAAATACAGCTCGTGTACCATTGATTTATGAATGCTAACTTTATCTCAGTATAATAGTTTAGGATTATTTATGTTAGGATTATCTGTTTACTCTATCTGGGTCAGATTTCTGAAAATCTGGCAGGTCTGCTGCTAACTGGACAACAGCTCACTGATTTTATTTAAATAAGAAAGTCTCTTAAATCTTACTGCTTCATCTTGTTGATAGAAGTGAACCTTTACAGTAATAAACTATTCTATCTTTATTACAATAAATGGTTTTCTTTTTTTATGCCAGATTAATAGTTTGGTTCTTGATTCCATAAATTATTCTCCATTTTTGAAACAACCAGATGTTGGTGATTTAGAAGCGCAAAGCAGGAAAACTCATAATGTCTTTCTTTTTATTTGAATGATTCCCGTCTGCTTGTGCAAATCTGTAAAATACTGAACTGAGATTCAGCCAAACTTCTGCTAATAATTCGGAGGCCATTTTGAATGCAGGGTCAGGTGGGAGGAAGTCTGAGGCTGTTTGTCTCCGTGTCGCTGAGCCTCGTCTCTAACGTAGATATTATCCAGCTGCTTTCTGTAGCTTCGTCTCTAAGATCAGAAGAGGAAATCCTTTGAAGGTTTGACCTCATTAGCAGAGGAAATACCAGCGGCGATGACCTCATGGTTAGTGGTGCACATGGAAACCAAAGGGGCCCTCGTGAAAACAGCAACAATCACATTTTCACGCTGTTTATTCTATAGGAAGAAATGTTCACTCATAAGTTATTGAATAATTGTACATTTGCTGAAAATGTATATTTAACCACAAATACATGTTGGTTTTCAACCATAGATAATATTATTAATTTAGAAAATATTTCTGCCTTGATCCAGATTCCCTGCTGGGTTTTGTGAAAATGCTGATTTATTATATTTCTTTAACATTAAACTTTCTTGTTGTTCATCCGTAAAGTTGGGTGGTTGAAATAATCGCTGTCCTACCCACTGTTAAAATGAGGAGGATTTGTCCCCTTGGACGGAAGGCTGTAGCGCCCAGGTTCTTTTCCTGGGAGCAAGTTATTTACTACTCTTAACTCAAACTGGGTAAAACCATATAAAGGACTATAAAACAGGACTAAAAAAGTAACAGAGTTTATTCCAGATCAGGTCGTTACAGGACAGAGAAAATGCTTGGAGCTGCACAGCTGTGGGCTCAAAAATCACGTCAGCGAGCGTCCGGCAAAGTTTGAGCCTGGAACAACGTCATCTCCTGCTTCTTATAGCTCATGGGTCTATGTGTTGCATCATGTTGATGCTTAGCTGTCCGTATCAGAAACTGACACGCCATCCATGTCTTGAACTCCATGCAGCTTGCTTCTATACTTCAGGGTTACAGATAGCTATCCTCTATCAGACCGGCTCCAAGATGTGTCCATATCCTGTGTATCTTAAAGACACAAAGGCTGTCCTGATTAGATGACCTCCGTACACACCGTGACATCCACCATGTGAAGGAAGGCCTTCTGCTCTGTCTAATCTGGCTAACAAAGTAACAATCCACATGATGTATAAAGAATAAACCTAACACCACAGATGTTTCCTCCTGAGCAGTGGATCTCTGCAGCTCCTCCAGAGTTCCCACCAGCCTCCTGCTTGTGTGTCTGATTAATTTCCTCTTTTCCAGCCGTTAAACTTTCCCTCAAACTTCTCTCTGACACGTCTGCTGTGTTTTAGGAGGCAGACGATCATCTTTCACCTCAGGGTTACGGTTAGCAGGTGGAACTTTAATCCGACCTCAGAAGATTACCAGATTAAACGGCCCCCTTTAACCTGACCCCCCCTCCATTAACCACCAACACTTAGCCAATCACCTGAATGACTTCTACACAGTCAACCCCCCCATGACACTTCCCCACCGCAGCTGGGACCCTACCTTAAAAGACCCACCCCTCCTCCCCTCTACTCTCCCCAAGAACTGGGATTGCCATCCCCTGCTGCAGCATGTCATACGGTCTGCAGAGAAGCTGATTGGCTGCAATCTTCCATCTCTCCAGGATCTGTACGCCTCCAGGACTCTGAGGCCTGCAGAGAAGATTTTGGCTGATCCCTCACTATTTCAGCCCCGCTCCATCAGGACCAAACCCTGCCGTTCTTCCCATCCACTACCAGCCTTATCAACAAGGCCCAGAGACCCCCGTCACCCTGACACTGCCTCTCCCTCCCCCGCTCAGGACCTAGAAGCTACACCAGCGTAGAATCTCCAGTCCTCCTACCTTACATTAACAATTACTGTGTATATAATATATAGCTATATGCTATATATTATATATAGTATATTTTATGTTTTCTATTGTATATAACTATAGATTCTGTATTCTGTATGTATTTCTATTTTGTCTGCATCATCAAAAAGACACAAATGAATCAAAACCAACATCCTAAAGCTTTGTTGTTTAACATGATGTCTCGTTTCGTGTCTCTCAGTCCAGCCTCCTCCTGGTCCAGCTCTCCTAACGGAGGCCTCCCAGCTATCAGACGCATTGAAGAAGCCTGGACATGACCTTCAGAGGCCAACATGTCCTCGGTGTGGCGTCCCAGTCACTGAAAAGAGACTCAAACCTGCCTCACAGCTGCAGAGCCAACCGCAGGGCTCAGTGCACAGCGGCCATAAGGGCAGCGATAGTAGGAGAGGAAGGGCCAGATCCAACCAACCTGCTCCTACACCTGCAGGTAACCTCCACCTTAAATGATCTGTTTCAATAGATGCAGAGAAAAGGAACCAAAACTATCAAAGAATGTTCAAAACTCTCACTTTCTTACAGAAATATTTAGGAAGGTAGTTAGGAAAGGATGGCCTCCATATTTGAGCAGCAGTTTTATATCCATCCATCCATTTTCTATGACGCTAATCCCAAGCAGGGTGGCGAGGGGCGCTGCTGTCTATCCACCCTCGATAGCCGGGTCCACCCTCCACAGGTCTATAGCAGGGCCAGTTTTTTTATTTGAGTCAAATCCTATAGGTTCAATCAAACGTTAAACAATTGTAAATTCAATAAAAACTATTTTAGACATCTATTCAAATCGTAAAAGATTCAAAATTATGGTATTTTCTCTCTATTTTGTTTTTTTTTTGGGCTAGAGAAATGGAATAATGAACAGCAGCTGCAGTGTAAGGCAACAGGACAGCTAGTTTGATTTTTTCATGAAGTAAAAATTTAATGAAGATTATAGCACTAAAATAAAGCAAGTTAATCTGCTTAATGCAGTTCAATAAAGCACCAAGTGTCAACATTTTTCTTTCAGTTTAATCTGATCCAACAAAACCAACTAACCCCACAATATTTTACATGAATAAAACTTTAAAAAAGAGCCTGTTTGTAATCACTTTCCCCCTACAATGATATCTAAAATAAAACCGCGATGTATTTCCTTTTTCAGTCGATTTCATTGATAACTGAATAACAGGCATCAGAATCAGCTCTGCTGAAGCTGAGAAACACCAAGAACTTTTAGGACAGTGGCCCTCGAGGACCGACTTTGGCTAACCCTTGGATAGAGGATCAGTTGCCCCTAAGCCTAACCCTACACCTATGTTAGCCTAACAGACAAGTTTTTTTTAAATTAGAAATACTAGGTAGAGAAAATAATGTTGACAAAGGAGGAAGTGGAATGCTGTCAAGAGGATAGGGTGGCTAATAAAGGACTGTTTCTTCATCCTACCTCCAGTGTAGATGGCCAGCCGATGTCTTCTTTACCCATTTCCGCTGCTCTCTGTCCAGGCAAGCTTCGTTGATGCACCCTGGTACTCCTTTCATCTCCAGTAGTTTGCCTCCAACCAGCCATAGCCTCTCCTGGCTTCTCTGATGTACCAGTGTCCAATTCCTGGGCAGCCATAGACTCTACCCCGCCTTCAGTGTTCTGTCCTCTCAGTAAATTATCTGACCTGTCACTGTGCTCCTCTGTTCCTCTGCAGTTAGCTTCTGTAGTTAGCCCCAGCCTGCTTTAGCCTCTCCTCGCTGTTTCCCCGACAGGCCTCTCTGATCTACAGCTCTTGCTTCTCTCCCAGCTCTCGTCCACCGCTTCCCTGGAGCTCCTCCAATCCCTCGCTGTAGTTCTCCGTTCCAGAGGGTGAGACGGCTGGTAGCCTGGTGCTAGTTCTGTTTATTTATCTGCTGGTGTTTCCTCCCTGACTTCCCACTGTTTGTCTGAGCTCCAGAATGCCGTCTTACCAAACCCTCTGTTGTCTGGGTGATTCGTCCCCCATGGTGGGAAAGCAGGGCCCTGAAATGGCTCATGATAGGTGGAAGTACCTCTGAAAGTAACCGTCATCCAGACCTAGACTCTGATTGAGGTGGTGGTATTCGCCATACTCGTTCCATCTCTAGGAATTGTTGAGCCTAGGAACGGCAACAGCTTTCTAGAGTAAAAAATCACAGCCTGTCGCTCTGTAAATCCAATTCCCACCATGATGAGGTGAAACCAACAGATTCCATGATATAGAAGTCTTTCGCTGTGCAGGCGAATTTCAAGGCGACCAGAAACAAACGGAACTGGGAAGATTTTAGTGGTTTAGCATTCGGTGTGAACGTACCGCTGCAACTGAGCTTATTTGGACAGAAAAACAATCTTTAAGGCTTTAGGTTTGTAAAGCTGGCAGACATGTCTCAAAGAGACCGACCTCGGTTAAACCAGAAAAGGACATTTCCTGCAAAGTAAAAAGGTCATAGAAATTAAAACATTATAGACGTCTTATATTTTTTTAAGTCAAATCACATCTACTTCCCGTTTGTCTATCAAATAGGATCCTAATGGTAAGAAGCCAGAGAACAGATGATTAAAAGCAACACTTTTTAAGCAAATTAAAAAGTGAAGCTTAATCAAGCATTAAAATAACTGAATAAGGTTATGAACTTCACAGCAAAAGAAAAAAAAATACATATTTTTTGGTCAAATCATGTTTCTGGTAAATATAAAACTTAAAATGCAAATAACAAATCTGAAAGTTTCCCAGTTGCTTCCTTCCTGTTAATGCTTGTTTACCAAGGAGTTTTTATATCATTAAGGAGCTACCCACAATGCCCCTCTTTCATATACACACCTGCATTAGCATATGTTACATGTGGGTTGTGTATAAATCAGTGGAATAAGTAGGGAAATGTTGGGCCCCGCTCCACAGGGAATTCTGCCTCCTCTGTTTCACCGCTTTCCAGAGTAAAAAGGATAAAACAGCTGGATTTGCATCAGCCTGCTCCCCTCTGGTCCTTCTGCAGATGAATAAATAAATACAGCAGGTATGATCCCACCATAAGCACTGCAGCGCACCGTCAGGTTAACGTATGCAATTTCATCTGTGCCTAATTTGGGCAGCGGAGCAATTATCGTGTGACAGCTTCCTCTGGATTGTTTTTTCATCCCTGCGAGCCTCTGTGGCCTTTTTTGATTTTCCCTCGAGGACTGAAACAAGCTGTGATTAAAAAAACACAATCACACTTGATCACTGCAACATTTTCTCTTTAAAGTTTTTGGTTGACACCACAAACAACACAAGCGTTTAATTTGGGTTAATAGCTTTGCTAATCCCTGTTTTTCTGTGAACACAAAAAAAGGCTTTCAGGAAACAAGACAAGTTGCTGTGTGACCTCAGATTTCTGAGTCGTTTCCTTCCTATTTTAACAGACTCCTGCTTTCAGCTGCTGCTGGCGTGTCTGTGGTGCCGGTTCTCTGCGGTGCTCCTGGGTGTTCTGGAGGCCTCCTCCTGCTGCCTCCAGGGCCTCTGCTCCTCCTGCTGCCACGCCTGCTCCTCCTGCTGCTCGGCCATCCAGGACGCCCCCGCTGAGGAGTTCAGCTGCCCCACCCACTGCCACTCGGTGCTGTTTGAGTCTTGTTGTGAACCCACAGAGTTTCTGGAGTTCTGCCTGGACTGCTGTGAGATCTGTCACCGCGGCTAAGCCAGTAGTCTATCTGAAGGGATGCAAACGTGCACCCAGAAAATAAGATGACTGTTGGTCTGTCTTAAAAGTTCAACAAAATAGAAAGAAGTTGCAATGAAAGGTAGTGTTGCTCATACAGTGTCTACATGCTTCATGTGTTTCTATAGCTCTGATGAGTGAAGGGCCACTTCTGCTGCAGGTAAAGATAAGAACAAACTGAGGAACAAGCCGGTTCGCTTACTTCGTGCCGCCTGAACGTCACCCTCTAAATTAGATACCACTGCTGCCTGTTGTCCCTAACAGAACACAGCTGCATTGTGGGCCAAAAAACCCAAAGCCTAAATTCTATTTACTTGCTCTAACATGATTTAAATGAGCATCTTTGCTCTCCTGGACAGACTGACAGCAGTGTCTTTATCGGCACTTAGATTTATTTTTGGCTGTTTACCGTCTGCTTCTCTGCTGTCATCTCGCTCTGCAGCTTTTTAATGAAGCCAGCTCAGATCTTCTGAGATCTAGAGACAGTAAGCATCTTCTTTATGCCTCAAAGTGCCTTATTTGACAAATATGATAAAGGATTAAAGCGAGAGATGACAAGTTTTTTATTAGCAGTGTAGAGGGAGTCACATTGGAGGCAGTTTGGATGTAAAGCAATAGACCTTTTCTGCTTGTGGTCGTTTATTAAAACATTATGTGCCTTTTAGTTCTGTTACATTTAAACTGAAGATGGGAAAAATAAACTGCTCTCATACCAAGACGCAGATCAGAGATGCAGCTTGAAGGCCCAAAGCTTTAGAAAGAAAACAGAGGAATTGGTTCTTAGACTTAGACTTCTTTATTTGTCATTCTGTATGCACAGTGTGCATACAGACAAAATTGCGTTACATACAGCTTATGAACGTTGCATTGATATTTCAAATGGCACAAGTTATACAAAAATACAAAAAGTGCAGCAGTGGTCAAAGTGTGAACAGTGCAGAGGATAAGAGACAGTGTGCAAGTTGCAGTGGTTCAGTGCAAATAGGCATTTGTGCAAAAAATGCGTTATTGAAAATAGAAATGAGATGAACAATTAAAGGGCTAAAAGTTAAACGTTCAGCAGCATTGATGCCCGATAATGTGCAATAGGTGCAGAGTTCGGTTTGTGGATCAATGGTTCAACAGTCTGATGGCAGTGGGGAAGAAGCTGTTGCACAACCTGGTGGATCTGCAGCGGATGCTGCGGAACCTCTTTCCAGAGGGCAGCAGGGAGAACAGTCCATGGTGGGGGTGTGAGGGGTCTTTGATGATATTACGGGCTCGGGACACACAGCGCTGTGATGAAATGTCCTTAATGGAGGGAAGAGGAGCCCCAATGATTCCTTCTGCTGTCCTCACCACCCTCCTCACATTCTTCCAGTCAGAAGCTCTGCAGCCTCCACACCACAGAGAGAGACAGCTGGTCAGAACGCTCTCTATGGTGCTTCTGTAGAAGGCTGTGAGGATGGGCGGGGGCAGGCGGGCTCTCCTCATCCTCCGCAGAAAGTACAAGCGCTTCTGTGCCCTCTTCACTAGAGATGAAGTGTTTACAGTCCAGGTGAGGTTGTCCGTGATGTGCACCCCCAGGAACTTTGTGCTGCTGACCACCTCCACAGCTGAGCTGTTGATGAGCAGTGGAGCATGGTGGGGGCGGTTTTTCCTGAAGTCGACGATGATCTCCTTCGTCTTCTCCACGTTCAGGATCAGACTGTTTTCACTGCACCAGCCCACCAGCTGCTCCACCTCCTCTCTGTAGTCCAGGTCGTTGTCGTCCCTGATGAGGCCCACCACCGTGGTGTCGTCCGCAAACTTCACGATGTGATTGGTGATGAACCTGGGGACGCAGTCGTATGTCATCGGGGTGAACAGCAGGGGGCTCAGGACGCAGCCCTGAGGGGAGCCCGTGCTGAGGGTGATGACGTCAGAGGTGTTCTGACCGACCCGGACCGACTGAAGTCTGTTGGTGAGGAAGTCCAGCAGCCAGTTTCGAATGGGTGTGTTGAAGCCCAGCTGTTCCAGCTTTTCCACCAGGTGCTGTGGGATGATGGTGTTAAACGCTGAACTGAAGTCCAGGAACAGCATCCGCACAGGAGAGGAGATGGTGCCCTCCGTGGAGCGGTTTCGCCGGTAGGCAAACTGGAACGGGTCGAGTGTTGGGGGGAGACTGGAGACGATGTGTTCCTTTACCAGCCTTTCAAAGCACTTCATCATGATGGGAGTCAGTGCGACGGGCTGGTAGTCGTTGTAGCAGGTGACTTGAGGTTTCTTTGGCACTGGGATGATGGAGGCAGACTTGAAGCATGCTGGCACTGTGGCTTGCTCCAGCGAGGTGTTAAAAATGTCCGTGAGGACACCAGCCAGCTGACCTGCACACTCCTTGAGCACCCGCCCAGGTATGTTGTCGGGACCTGGGGCCTTCCGCGGGTTGACCCTCCTCAGAGTCTTCCACACGTCGGCTGTGTCAAGGCAGAGCACCTCCTCTTCCTGATGTGGGACAGCCTTCACTGCTGGAGTGCGATTTAGTACCTCGAACCTCCCAAAGAAGTTATTTAGTCCGTTTAGGAAGTCAGCATCAACTTCATCCGCCGGGGCAGGGGGCGTGTTGTAGTCTGTGATCGCCCGTATGCCTTGCCACATGCTCCTGGTGTTGTTGGCGTCGTGGAACAGATGCTGGATTTTCTGGTTATGGTTCCGCTTTGCTAACCTGATGGCACGGTTCAGGGTGGCTCTAGCTGTCCTCAGTGCCTCCTTGTCACCAGACTTGAAGGCTGAGTTCTGTGCTTTTAGCGCATGGCGGACCTCCTCAGTCATCCAGGGCCGTTGGTTGGCTCGGGTGGTGATGGTCTTTGTTGTGCTGACGTCCTCGATGCAGTGGTTGATGTAGGCTGAAACAGTCATGGCGTACTCATCAACATTGATCTTGTTGTCATATGTTGCTGCTGATTTGAACATGTCCCATTCAGAGCATTCAAAGCAGTCCTGGAGTGCCTCCATGGCCCCCTCCGTCCAGACCCTCACCTGCTTCACTGTAGGTTTTGCTCTGATCAGCAGGGGTCTGTATGCAGGAATTAGCATCACAGAAAGGTGGTCTGAGGAGCCGATGTGGGGGCGGGGGGCTGCTCTGAATGCGTCTTTTATGTTTGTATAAACTAAGTCCAGAGTGTTCTCTCCACGAGTAGCAAAATCCACGCGTTGATAAAAATGAGGGAGAACAGTTTTCATATTCGCCTGATTAAAATCTCCAGCAATGATGAAAACGCCCTCTGTGTGTGTAGATTGCAGCTCAGAGACAGTCCGATAGAGAACACTCATGGCCTCCTTTGTATCAGCGCTGGGGGGGACATACACCGCTGTGATGGTAACAACAGTGAACTCTCTGGGCAGGTAAAAGGGTCTGTAGCTAACAGTCAGAAGCTCTATGTCCGGAGAGCAAAAATTTGTGACTATTCTAGCATTTTTACACCAGTTGTTATTGATGTAAACAACTGGTGAGACCATCATCCTGAAAAATGAGCCCATTATCAAACACAGTGGAGGCTGCATCATACTGTGGGGATTCTTTACTTTAGCGGGGCCAAGGGTAACAAAAACAAACGGCATGATGGGATACCAAAGATTTTAGATTGGGAGGTTCCCCTTCCAGCAGGAAAGTCTGACTGAGGGACACCTGACAGATGGCTAACAATGAATTAGCCTTTATGTTTAGCTCATCTAGCCTCGCAGTTGTTGGACAGGTAGAGAATAAGAGTCTGAGTTTTACAGACAACTGATGACCCGACGAAGAGCGGATTGTTTTCAAGCTAATTTATATATTTTTATAAAAAGCTCCTTTTTATTCTGTTTGTTTTATTCTCGCCGCCTCCAAAGCTGCACGACGACGGCTGTAACCTCCTCAATCAAAAGCAGGTTCATACCTGCTCTATGAAGTGCCGTCTGTATTTATAAAAAAGGGGAAATAATAACAGCTAATAGTCAGTCTGTCAGATATGCTCATCCACTATAAAGGAAACCAAAATAAATGTAACAAGATTTGAATATCTTAACATTTGCGGCTGACGCAGAGTGGATGGATCAAAGCTAAGAGAGACGCACCAGAGGGGGGCAATCATAAACACGCCGCCTTGTCTTAATAAGAGAGGAAAATGGTTTCTAAAGCAGCGCATCACTTCAGGAGGAGGGGGACTTTTAAAGAACATCAAAACGCAGCTAATGAGAGTCCAGGATTGATGGAAAGCAGCATCTCTCATTTAAATACAAGAAGATCCTGGATTATTTTAGCAACTTTTGCAGGATTAGTTCTCAGAAATGAGGAAAACAGAGAAGCTGACTTCCTGTTCCCGTTTACCTTTTTAAATCTGTAACTTATCTTTAACTTATTAATATATCTGATCTTTTTCACAATGCAGAAAAAATTCTAGCAATGAAAGTGAAGCAAAGATCTTTTTAAATTCTGGTAAAGTCGTTCTAGCGACAGAGAGGTCTGTCTATTCTCACTATATAATATTGAATGTTTGCGAAGCGCTTTTTAACGGTAAAAGGTTCTGTAGCATGAAAAGCTCAACATATGCCACTGAGACGGCCGACAGAGATCCCACCTTCTGGAATAATCTTCTTCTTTGGACTGAGAGTCAGAAATATTTAGACACCAGAAGAAGAAACTGATCTTAACTCTGAAGAATAAAGCATCTAGATGGGCGTCTGTGCTTTGGTCTCATTATTTTAGCTCCTTAAACAGCAAAGACAATATGAGTGATTTCAGTGTAAACACCAGAAGTTCCCCATTGGGGGACAATAAAGGGATTTTCTATTCTATTTATTCTACATCTAGGAACCTTTGACAAGCACTTGTTTCTGGTACAACTGGTCCTGGATGCTGAATGTCAACATCTACCATTAAAACTGTTAGAATTATTTCTATTTATCCTCTAGTGCAATATTTAAAGTATCAACCTTTGGTACCTTAAAGGCAAAAAACCACAACTTTTATGTATAAATAAATATCAGGAATCAAAGGGTTAAAATAACTCAGCTTCTCTTATTTATCGACACAATTCTGCATCTTTTACTTTACAGTAAATAAAATTAGTTTGGTAAAAGAAAACAATCATTTATAGTTTCTTTTTCCTCATTTATTTGATGCATTACAGCAATATTTTCAAAATAAAAACTTTATCTGAAGAAAAAACAAATAGCAAACTGGCCTTTTAATCAAACCAACTAAAAAATCTGAAATGTTTTATAGCCGGAGAGGAATCCAGCTCGTCATCTTCAAGTTTATAGTGTTCATTAAGTAAATAAATAAATCGATATTTAAGACTGCAACAGATATTGCACCATTGGATGGCACGTACCAGACGACATAAACTGGCCAAAACAAAGAAATACAAATACAGAAATTCTCCAAAATAAAAATCCAAACTAGGATTTCATCCAGAAAAATACTTCTGAGGTTTTTTTTTTTTTTAAATTGTTCCTGTTCAGAGACTCCTCCCTCAATGTGCAATAAAGTAGATTTTTTTTCATGACACAAGATAAAAAACCAAACATGGGTTAAAATCTTCTTAGTTTCTGATGGTTGGCAGCTAAAATGTGGAGTTAGATCCTACGGTTCTTCTTCAGCACCTCCAAATACTGCTGCGTTGCTCTGCTGAGGGGGTCCAGCTCGGCTGCGCCGGCCGAGCCCACAGGAGACAGACGGATGGAGGCGGCGTCCAGCTCTGCTGCAGCTGACCAACCAACAGAAAAGCCTGAGGTTAAAAACTGCAGCTTCATCCAAGAAGAAGATCAGAAACAGGAGGATTGGTTCCCACCTTTGCTCAGTTCTTTCGATATGTTTTTATCCAACTCACTCTGCATCTGGATTTTCAGGAAAACACAAATGAAGGTGAAATCAATAAGTGCAGGTGAGATGAAACAGGAGAGGAACCAGTCAAACACAGCAGGTCATGCAAACCTTCCAGTTAAAGATAAAAAAACTCAGAGGCATTTTACCATAGAAATTCTTCCAAAAATAAAAAAATTCAAACCTCTAAATAATGAGAAATATCTTTTCTGAAGGAAATGTTGGAATAAATCAATCCAACACTTCGGCGCTCATTGAGCAGCCAATAAAAACACGTCTGACCTGATTTATGACATAAGAACAGAAACAACTGATTTTATTTACTGTTAAAGCTTCACAGGCTTTATTTAAACTCATGTTTGTGTTTTCTAAGTTAAAATTAAAGTCACTTTGATTTTATTAATTCAGTGAAAAAGTCAAACTCATTAAAGATATATAAATATATATATGATTATTATTTGCAGATTTATTACAAAGTGAAATAATTCAAACCTTTGTTTCTTTTCTTATACTAACAGCTAATAGAAACCAGTTTAGAAACTAGAATAAAGCTAAAAGAAATGATTTGATATAAAATAGATTTTGATTTATTTCTATACCCAAAGAAACTCTGTATAAGACTGTAACTTAGTGGCTGTTCAGGTTTTAGCCGCTTCATGTGTCTGACGGGAAAGTTGATTGGAATTAACTTTGTTTCCTCGTGGTTCAACTTTCACCTTTAAAAGAAACTAAAATTCAGCATCTCATAGAAATGAAGGACCTAGAGTGTGAAGGAGTGGACCGGCCCAGAACCTGAGGTGATGGTTTAGGTCCAAGCAGGTCTGCTGGCTCTTATCCAGCTGAAGATTAGCCAGTTAGAAGCTAACCCTAACCCTACAATAAAACTACAAAGAAATGTCAACCTAACAGGTGAGATTCTAACCTAACAGGTACGATTCTAACCCAACGTATGAGATTCTAACCCAACGTGTACGATTCTAACCCAACAGGTACGATTCTAACCCAACAGGTACGAATCTAACCCAACGTATGAGATTCTAACCCAACAGGTGAGATTCTAACCCAACAGGTGAGATTCTAACCCAACAGGTGAGATTCTAACCCAACAGGTGAGATTCTAACCCAACAGGTACGATTCTAACCCAACGTATGAGATTCTAACCCAACAGGTGAGATTCTAACCCAACAGGTGAGATTCTAACCCAACAGGTGAGATTCTAACCCAACAGGTACGATTCTAACCCAACGTATGAGATTCTAACCCAACAGGTGAGATTCTAACCCAACAGGTGAGATTCTAACCCAACGTATGAGATTCTAACCCAACAGGTACGATTCTAACCCAACGTATGAGATTCTAACCCAACGTATGAGATTCTAACCCAACAGGTGAGATTCTAACCCAACAGGTACGATTCTAACCCAACAGGTACGAATCTAACCCAACGTATGAGATTCTAACCCAACAGGTGAGATTCTAACCCAACAGGTGAGATTCTAACCCAACAGGTGAGATTCTAAACCAACAGGTGAGATTCTAACCCAACAGGTACGATTCTAACCCAACAGGTGAGATTCTAACAAATGCATCAATCTGCCCCCCCCACACACACAAGCATGCTTAGTGTGAGGGATTGTATTTGAGTCAATGAGTTGATGCAATCAACTGGTTTTCCTTAGATAGAAAACTTTGTATCAATTTGACTGTATGATCTGGTTGAACTGTAAAGTGCCTTGAGATGACATGTGTTGTGAATTTGGCGCTATATAAATACACTAAATTGAATTGAGGCTCGGTTTAAAAGGACTTTAATAGAAGTAAAGATTTCTGCTGCTTTTTCTCTCCCAATGCAGATAAGAAAAACAACTTTCAGCATATTGCTGTAAAAAACAGAGATTGTTGTTTAATGATGTCATCAGCAGCAGGCGATGGGTTATTATTTATTCTGGAGGTTGAAAATGTTCAGAATAAAAAGGAAATGATGGATAATAGTAATAAAACCAATGCTCCTATATTCTTCCACTTAGCCTCTTAATGTTTATAATTAAACAATTATCACCACCTACTGGCCAGACACGTGCATAACAACAGGTTTGCTTTCTTTGGTTTTAGGAAAGGCAGCATTATTTGGGGGTCAGGGAGCCAGTAAAAAATAAAAACAATGAAAGCTAATAGAACTCTGTTGGTTTGAGCAGAACTGAATCATCTTTCACATCATTCATGGTTCCACAGCAGAGATGCTGAAAATACAAAGAAAAATCTAGAGAACTTTTCTTTAAATCCTACTTTGACTTTAAGTGTAAAAAAACTAAGTGAGGAAAAAGAAAACTTTGATTTACTTTGATAAGAGTGAAACGTTTGAAGATATTTCTAAAAACATGCAGAGAAGCTGCATTTCAAAGCAAACCCAGGTATCGTTAGCTGTGCAGCAGTCCTGCACCGGTCAGTCATTTCCCGCTGGGTAAACAGCCCTACTGTGTTTCCATGGAGACAATCTGCAGCTTTTCTGTTGGGATTTGATGAGATCAAGTTGTTAATCTACCCGATTGTCTTCCAGCCTTGTTTACCAGCACTTACTAACCCCACAGCATGATGCTGCCACCACCGTGTCATCCAAGAACTTAATGATTGTTTATATAATTATTCTTTATAAACTATCTGATATAATCCTGTTAATGTTTCTGGTTTAATTTCGGAAAGCCGTGTTGCTTTTCCAACTAAAGAAAGTTTGATTTTTAGTTTCTAATCCTGACTTCATGCGTTTATGTTTCTGTTTGTTCATTAGTTTTCTACAAACCTAAAGGTTTTCACACAGCAGGATGCTTTATTATCCTCACACTGAATTATTATCTGCTACTTGATGCTGTTTGCTCCAATTCTGGTAAAAAGGTTTTTTCTAACGAAATCTTCTGAAGCTTGTTTGCCGACTTTCTGTCGACTCTGATGAGCGAAGCGTCAATTGAGGCCAAAGCAGGGAAACAGCAACCAGTCAGCTGAAAGCAGCAACACACCTGGTTATGAGTCTGGCTGAAGGGAGGAGAAAACAGACTTTTGAGCTAGAAGCTAAAAGAGTGAGAAATAGAAGACAAGTTAGAGGTAATAGTGAAAAGACTTTGGACAGAAATGATAAAGAAAAAAACTGAATCTTTCACGTTGCAGAAAAATAAATCTAAAGTGATTTTTGGGGAAATTCCTCATTAAATATAGTTATGAGACTAAATTGTAGGGATGTTTTATTCATATCTAACTTCTTCTCTGAAGTCAAATCCTTTTTTTTTTTTTATAAAAGAAAACAAATACTTTAACATAAAAACTCCAGTTCCAAAGAAATCAGATGAAATGTTCTCTAATTTCTCACACTGAGGGTGAAATGCAGGACTGGGCAGACCTTAGCCAGGTAGTCCTCCACCCCGCGCTCTGTCACAGGACTGAGGGGAAAACCAAAGCTCCTGTTGAGGGACCCGACGGCGGCCCCGGGGTCCACTGGGGAGAGACGCACCGGGCTCCCGTTAGCCAGGAAAGACCTGCTGCGCTCGCTGAGCAGCTTGGAGTTAGCTTCTGAGAGCCGACTGTTGGCCCTGTGGCACAAAGAGAAGCTAATCAGTTTCACTGCTTCTACATGTTCAGCTGCTGAAAAGCAGAAGGATAAAATGAACTGTGAAGAGCTTGAGACGACGTGTGTGAATTGGTGCAATAGAAATAAACTGAATTGAATGAAATGTGAAGAAAGCTTCAACCTGTCCAGTTTAGCAGCGAGGGACTTCCGCTGGCGCATCTCTTCATTGTAGAGCTGTCGGTGGCGCTCCAGCTCAGACTCTCTTTGGTTCAGACTCTCCAGCTGACCGCTGCGGGCCCGGCCAAGCTCCGCCTCCAGCTCCTGGATCCTCTGCTCCAGCTGGGTGCGCAGGTTGGCCTCGTTGGCAGCTTTAAGCTGGTCTAGTTGTTCTTGAGAAGCTGCCTGGGACTAGAAAGGAGCTTATTAAGCTGAAGCAGCAGCAGCGGTTATTTAGTTACTGGATTCATGCAGCTGGCTGGACCAGCTTTTACCTGCAGGAACAGGTTGACTTGCTCCAGTTTGTCTTTAAGGTCCCGCTGGGCTTTCTCCTCCATCTCACGGCGGTGCTGCTCCCTCTGGATCTGATTGGCCTCCAGTCGGCGCCTCAGTTCCAACACCTCCTCCTCCAGCAGCCTCCTGCTTCTCTCCTGCTCATCGTGACTACGGCCCAATCCTTTTAGGGACGCCACCTGATCCTTAAGCTGCTCGTTGATCTTCTCTAGCTGGTTACGACGAGACGTTTCCTTCTCCAGCTGTCCCTGCAGATCATCCACCTAAAGACAGAGGAAGGGTCGGAAAGCAAAGAAACATCTCAACCTTTGAATTCACTCTGAAACCTTCTAAAATCAAGAACAATCAATCAACTTATCAGGAGTTATTAATGGTTGATCTACAGAAATAGCTTAAACATGGTGGTGGCAGCGTCATGCCGAGGGGATGCCCGTTAGACAGAGAAGCTGGTTAGAAAATTAAGAATCTGTTAGAGCCTGCATCAAACTCAAGGCCTGCAGGCTAAACCCCGTTCATTACGGCCGTTTATAAGACCTTAAAACTTCCCAAAGATATAGATTAACATTTCCTAAAGATATAGATTAACATTTACTAAAGATATAGATTAACATTTCCCAAAGATATAGATTAACATTTCCCAAAGATATAGATTAACATTTCCCAAAGATATAGATTAACATTTCCCAAAGATATAGATTAACATTTCCCAAAGATATAGATTAACATTTCCCAAAGATATAGATTAACATTTCCCAAAGATATAGATTAACATTTCCTAAAGATATAGATTAACATTTCCCAAAGATATAGATTAACATTTCCTAAAAATATAGATTAACATTTCCTAAAGATATAGATTAACATTTCCTAAAGATATAGATTAACATTTCCCAAAGATATAGATTAACATTTCCTAAAGATATAGATTAACATTTCCCAAAGATATAGATTAACATTTCCTAAAGATATAGATTAACATTTCCTAAAGATATAGATTAACATTTCCCAAAGATATAGATTAACATTTCCCAAAGATATAGATTAAAACTTCCCAAAGATATAGATTAACATTTCCTAAAGATATAGATTCTGTAAAAAAGAGCCAAACCTGCTAAAGTATATCTATAATACGGGAGTAAAGGGATAAAAACTAACACCTGATTGATGCAGCAGCAGGCGGATCGTCCTGAAGACGTCGTGATGCTGAAGCGGTTTGATAATGAGTTTAACTTTGTGGTTTAGAGGCCAAACTTTTCAGCATCTCTCAAACTAAATGTTTTATAAGAGCATCGATCTTTTTTATTATTAAACCCAATCTGCAGCAATGGATTCTGTTGTTTCGAGGCAGCGGAGAATCTAAGCAGCACATTATGTGGAGTTTACGGCAGCCTGGGATGGACAAACCTTTTCCTTCATCCATGCCAAAGTGGCGTCAGCCGGTCGGCCCTGATCCAACCGCAGAGAGGCCGCCTCGGCTCCACCGCCGTATTGATCCCGCAGCTTCTTCTTTGCAGTCTTCAATAAAGTGCGTAGCCTTAAACACAGATTTACTAAATAAATATGCAAAGAACAAAGTTCATAAATGACATAAAAATCTTTTTATAAACAGCACAGTGATGGATGGTTCTAGTGGATCCTGTTGGGGTCTAAGCAGCAGGCTGGACTCACGGAGAAGAGACCAAAGGTCACCTGTACATTTCTTTCTGAAGCTCCATGTTCCTCTTCATCTCCTGATCGAGGCGCGTGTCGGCCGCCTTCTTCTGCTCGGCCATTTTCTTCGCTTTCTTCTTTTCCATCTCCATCTAGAGTTAACATCTCAGTGAGTCAAAAGCTGATGGATTCATCGTCCATATTTTCAGTGTAAACACCTGAGAGGTGAGCTCTCCCTTTTCCTTTTCCAGCTCGGCCAGACGCAGGCCTAACTTAGAGCGGCTCTTTAGCTCCTCCTCCCACAGCGTCTGGGAATCCTGAGCGCTGTGAGATAACCTGCTTTGTTTTTGGACCTATGGACAATAAAACACAAAAAAACTGCTGGTTAAAGTTAAAATCATCTCATCATAAGCAGTTTTTAATGATTTGGCATATAGACTACAGATATTTTTTCCCCTCCACTTCTGTCCTACAGAAACTTCTTTGTTTTACAACATTGAACAAATAAAATGGCATCATGAGGAGAAAATAAGAAACTTGCCTCTTTGTTCAGCTGCTCCTCTAAGGTCATTTTGCTGCTTTGGAGATTAGTTACCATGTCTTCCAGACGGCCTCGCACCTAGAGAAAAGAACCCAACTTAAACGTTTCTGCTGCTGTTAAAAACAACTAAACATGTATGGTTTGATTGGCTGAGAGCAAACTAAAGGTCATAACATGCATTAGTAAAGTCACCACTGAAAGAAAGACCACAGATTGAGAGGAAAGAGGATCTCCATCACCAAGATATTCATTATTCCAGCTCTGCCTGATGAAACTAAAGCGACTTTTCTTTTTCCTCTTAATGATCAAATGGATTTACTTTAAACTAGTTAAAAATAAAAAAGGATAAAAGGAACCAGTGAAGCAAGAAGAACCGAGCCACACAGAGAAGCGACATTACAATACTGACCCCTCCTCCAGCTGAGCTGTCAGCTAGCTGGGAAAAGATCGCACAGCCTTCAATTTAACATCAGCTTCAATAAAGAAACTCACATCTGACTGAAGTGCAGAGCAGAGACTTTTTTCTACTTTTTAGCTTGAAGTAGGAGCATAAAGACTCAGAAGGAAAATGATTGGTCACCATAGCAGCTTCCTGAGCTCCTTTCTGAAGAACCTCAATCTTATTGGCCTGTTGCTTTGCAGCAGCTTCCAGTCGGGCGTTCTCGATCTCCAGCCTGGAGGACATTAGATCATCATCAGAGCCGAACACTGACCTCACAGAACAACGGAGGCTCCCTGGATTAGTTAACGTTCAAAAAACAAGCTGATCATAGCATCTAATCAAAGGTTTCTGGTGAAACATGCAGAATTAACCAGAATCCTAAAGAATAAAATGTGACGGAGATCCAACCAACTCCAACACCCAGAGAAACGTTTTCTATGCTTAACCTGATTCACTCAAAGCTTGAGTTTGTTCGTACCGTTGCACGGCGCCCTCCAGCTGTTTGACGGTCAGCTCGGCAGCAGCGGCGGCAGACAGCGCCTCCTGGAGTTTCTGAGCTGCACTGCTAAGTTCCTTCTCCCTGTCCCCCAGACTGCTCTTCAGGCTGTTGATCCGTCGCTCTGCCTGAACGTACTGATCCTCGCTTTCATCAAGCTGAGCAAGAGTCAAAAGAAAATGGCGTTTCTGCAGTGTGTACGCTCAGCTAAAATGGTTCAAAGGTTGTGTTCAAACTGGTGTCATTCTGCTCCTTAATCAGTGACTGTTTTTAATTGATCTCGTTCTGCAGGTACCTTTCCTCTGAGTCGGTCGTTGTCTTTGAGGAGCCGAGCTTTCTCCTCCTCCAGGTCGTTGCGATAGCGTGTGTTGACCTCCAGGGAGGCTTCGCTCATTGACAGCTTCTTCAGAGAGTCGGCTAGCTCCTGTTGCAGCTGCCTCATGCTGGTCTATGCAGACGAACAGCAGAGCAGGAAGGATTCAGGTAAACAGAACAAGAAACCCTGGAGAACTTGTTGCTACGGTCTTACCTCTCGTTCATTTTTTTCTTCCTCTAACTTATAAATCTGATCACGAAGATCTGCAGCCTTGGCAGCCAGCTCCTTGTTTCTGTCCTCCACCATCTGAACCCTCCCCTCGCCATCAGAGCGCAGCTTGGACAGGATGTCCGTGAAGCGCTCCTGGGCGTCTGTGACGGCACGCTCCTTTGCAGACCCCTTGTTGTTGGCCTCCTCTAGTTGTTGCCGTAGCAGCATGGCCTCGCTCTGGGCTTGGGCTAGCCGTTCTTGCGTTGCTTCATGGCGCGCCGCTGCACGGCTGACCTGCTCCCTCTCTGCATGCAGAGCGTTTTCTAGTTCCTTGGTGCGAGTCGCCGCCTGCTCCTTCTCTCTCTGCAGGACGTCCAGCAGCAGACCTTTCTCCGTTAGCTGCAGAGTGACCCGATGCACCTCGTTCTCCATGCTGTTTGCACGAGCTTCAGCTTTGGCCAGCTTCTGTGACAGGCTGCTTACTGCCTCACGCTGGGAGGCTAATTCACCTTTAAAACAGTTAACAAACAGGCGGTCAAATAAAAGAAGGACAGCCTGCTTTAGGAGGAGAAACAGATCAAGTCAGACGCTGTTATAGAGACTAGAAGCCAGTGATGCAGCTTCCCTCCACAACAGGTGGCGGCTGCAGATCTACCTGATGATGGAGATGCTTTCATCACGACCCTAACCCTGAAGATGGAGATGCTTTCATCACGACCCTAACCCTGAAGATGGAGATGCTTTCATCACGACCCTAACCCTGAAGATGGAGATGCTTTCATCACGACCCTAACCCTGAAGATGGAGATGCTTTCATCACGACCCTAACCCTGAAGATGGAGATGCTTTCATCACGACCCTAACCCTGAAGATGGAGATGCTTTCATCACGACCCTAACCCTGAAGATGGAGATGCTTTCATCACGACCCTAACCCTGAAGATGGAGATGCTTTCATCACGACCCTAACCCTGAAGATGGAGATGCTTTCATCACGACCCTAACCCTGAAGATGGAGATGCTTTCATCACGACCCTAACCCTGATGATGGAGATGCTTTCATCACGACCCTAACCCTGAAGATGGAGATGCTTTCATCACGACCCTAACCCTGAAGATCGAGATGCTTTCAACACGACCCTAACCCTGAAGATGGAGATGCTTTCATCACGACCCTAACCCTGATGATGGAGATGCTTTCATCACGACCCTAACCCTGAAGATGGAGATGCTTTCATCACGACCCTAACCCTGAAGATGGAGATGCTTTCATCACGACCCTAACCCTGAAGATGGAGATGCTTTCATCACGACCCTAACCCTGAAGATGGAGATGCTTTCATCACGACCCTAACCCTGAAGATGGAGATGCTTTCATCACGACCCTAACCCTGAAGATGGAGATGCTTTCATCACGACCCTAACCCTGAAGATGGAGATGCTTTCATCACGACCCTAACCCTGAAGATGGAGATGCTTTCATCACGACCCTAACCCTGAAGATGGAGATGCTTTCATCACGACCCTAACCCTGAAGATGGAGATGCTTTCATCACGACCCTAACCCTGAAGATGGAGATGCTTTCATCACGACCCTAACCCTGATGATGGAGATGCTTTCATCACGACCCTAACCCTGAAGATGCTTTCATCACGACCCTAACCCTGAAGATGGAGATGCTTTCATCACGACCCTAACCCTGATGATGGAGATGCTTTCATCACGACCCTAAACCCTGATGATGGAGATGCTTTCATCACGACCCTAACCCTGAAGATGCTTTCATCACGACCCTAACCCTGAAGATGGAGATGCTTTCATCACGACCCTAACCCTGAAGATGGAGATGCTTTCATCACGACCCTAACCCTGAAGATGGAGATGCTTTCATCACGACCCTAACCCTGAAGATGGAGATGCTTTCATCACGACCCTAACCCTGAAGATGGAGATGCTTTCATCACGACCCTAACCCTGAGAATGGAGATGCTTTCATCACGACCCTAACCCTGAAGATGGAGATGCTTTCATCACGACCCTAACCCTGATGATGGAGATGCTTTCATCACGACCCTAACCCTGAAGATGCTTTCATCACGACCCTAACCCTGAAGATGGAGATGCTTTCATCACGACCCTAACCCTGATGATGGAGATGCTTTCATCACGACCCTAACCCTGAAGATGGAGATGCTTTCATCACGACCCTAACCCTGAAGATGGAGATGCTTTCATCACGACCCTAACCCTGAAGATGGAGATGCTTTCATCACGACCCTAACCCTGAAGATGGAGATGCTTTCATCACGACCCTAACCCTGAAGATGGAGATGCTTTCATCACGACCCTAACCCTGAAGATGGAGATGCTTTCATCACGACCCTAACCCTGAAGATGGAGATGCTTTCATCACGACCCTAACCCTGAAGATGGAGATGCTTTCATCACGACCCTAACCCTGAAGATGGAGATGCTTTCATCACGACCCTAACCCTGATGATGGAGATGCTTTCATCACGACCCTAACCCTGAAGATGCTTTCATCACGACCCTAACCCTGAAGATGCTTTCATCACGACCCTAACCCTGAAGATGGAGATGCTTTCATCACGACCCTAACCCTGAAGATGGAGATGCTTTCATCACGACCCTAACCCTGAAGATGGAGATGCTTTCATCACGACCCTAACCCTGAAGATGGAGATGCTTTCATCACGACCCTAACCCTGAAGATGGAGATGCTTTCATCACGACCCTAACCCTGAAGATGGAGATGCTTTCATCACGACCCTAACCCTGAAGATGGAGATGCTTTCATCACGACCCTAACCCTGAAGATGGAGATGCTTTCATCACGACCCTAACCCTGATGATGGAGATGCTTTCATCACGACCCTAACCCTGATGATGGAGATGCTTTCATCACGACCCTAACCCTGAAGATGCTTTCATCACGACCCTAACCCTGAAGATGGAGATGCTTTCATCACGACCCTAACCCTGAAGATGGAGATGCTTTCATCACGACCCTAACCCTGAAGATGGAGATGCTTTCATCACGACCCTAACCCTGAAGATGCTTTCATCACGACCCTAACCCTGAAGATGCTTTCATCACGACCCTAACCCTGAAGATGGAGATGCTTTCATCACGACCCTAACCCTGAAGATGGAGATGCTTTCATCACGACCCTAACCCTGAAGATGGAGATGCTTTCATCACGACCCTAACCCTGAAGATGGAGATGCTTTCATCACGACCCTAACCCTGAAGATGCTTTCATCACGACCCTAACCCTGAAGATGGAGATGCTTTCATCACGACCCTAACCCTGAAGATGGAGATGCTTTCATCACGACCCTAACCCTGAAGATGGAGATGCTTTCATCACGACCCTAACCCTGAAGATGCTTTCATCACGACCCTAACCCTGAAGATGGAGATGCTTTCATCACGACCCTAACCCTGAAGATGGAGATGCTTTCATCACGACCCTAACCCTGAAGATGGAGATGCTTTCATCACGACCCTAACCCTGAAGATGGAGATGCTTTCATCACGACCCTAACCCCAGGAGGATGATTTCTAAACCTTCTGAAATTAATATTTGCTCCTGATCACATTAGAGTAGATTAGATCAGGTGGTTAGAAAAACCTGCTTCCTCAGAAAAAGTTAAACTAACAATGAAACGTTTCTATAGATGGATGAATGGATGGGTGGATGAAAGGATGGATGGATGGATGAATGGATGGATGGATGAAAGGATGGATGAATGGATGGATGGATGAATGGATGGATGGATGAAAGGATGGATGAATGATGGATGGATGAATGGATGGATGGATGAATGATGGATGAATGGATGAAAGGATGAATGGATGGATGGATGAATGATGGATGGGTGAATGGATGGATGGATGAAAGGATGGATGGATGGATGAAAGGATGGATGAATGGGTGGATGAACGGATGGATGGGTGGATGAAAGGATGGGTGAATGGACTGGTGGATGGATGGATGAAAGGATGGATGAATGGATGGATGGATGAAAGGATGGATGGGTGGATGAAAGGATGGATGAATGGATGGATGGGTGGATGGGTGGATGGATGGATGAAAGGATGGATGAATGGATGGATGGGTGGATGATGGGTGGATGGATGGATGAAAGGATGGATGAATGGATGGATGGGTGGATGGATGGATGAAAGGATGGATGAAAGGATGGATGATGGATGGATGGATGGATGGGTGAATGGATGGATGGGTGGATGGATGAATGGATGGATGGGTGGATGGATGAATGGATGATGGATGGATGGATGATGGGTGAATGGATGGATGGGTGAATGGATGGATGGATGAAAGGATGGATGGATGGATGGATGGGTGGATGAAAGGATGGATGGATGGATGATGGATGGTTGGATGATGGATGGATGAATGGATGGATGAAAGGATGGATGATGGGTGGATGAAAGGATGGATGGATGGATGAAAGGATGGGTGGATGAATGGATGGATGGATGGGTGGATGGATGAAAGGATGGATGAATGGATGGATGAAATAATGAATGAATGGATGGATGAAAGGATGGATGGATGGATGGATGAAAGGATGGGTGGATGGATGGATGGGTGGATGGATGGATGAAAGGATGGGTGGATGAATGGATGGGTGGATGAATGGATGAAAGGATGGATGGATGGGTGGATGGATGGATGAAAGGATGGGTGGATGAATGGATGGATGGATGAAAGGATGGATGGTGGATGAATGGATGGATGAAAGGATGAATGAATGGATGGATGAAAGGATGGATGGATGAATGGATGAATAAATGGAGGTTTTTGCCCAGGAAGTCGCTGCTCACCATTGAGTCGGTCTCTGATTCTCTGGTGTTCTTCTCTCTCCCAGATCAAAGTTTTCTCAGAGTCTGAATGAGCCGCCAGACGGAGCTCCGCCTCCTTCACGGCCCCGGCCAGGCGGCTGCGCGTCGACTCCACCTCTGCCTCCAGCGTCTCACGGGCCTGCCGTTCGTTTTCCAGTCGGCTCGCCGTTTTTGCCAGCTCTGCCTTGAGGGCGGCCAGCTGGTTGTGGCAGGTGAAGACGGTCTGGGCTACGCTGTCGTTGCTGATTTTGAGGTCTCGCCGAGCGTCTTCTAGCTGCTCTTTCAGCGTCTCGTTCTCCTCCAGCAGATGGCTCTCTTTAAGCTCGCCGTTCGCCTGCGATCGTTCAAGATCGGTCCTCAGCATGGACAGCTGCTCCTGCAGCGAAGCCGTCTGCTGGAGAAGCTCTCGTTCTCTGTCACTGGCTTCTGTGAGCTGAGACAAAGCCTGCAGAGAAAAACACCACCTACTGGTCATCTGGAGTTTACGACCAGCCAGAGACTGGATCAAAAGGTCGCTGGCATCACCTCACTGCTGCTGCTGATGATTCTCTTGTTCTCCACCTCCATCTCTTGCTGCTTTCTGAGATGACTGTTGAGCAGGTTTTCCTGCAGGGCCCGTGTGCTGCGTTCCTGAGCCAGCAGCCTCTGCGTCTCGGCGTGCTCCTCTTCCAGCTGTTAGGATTCATAGATGCACATTTAATAGACAGAAGCTTTTGTTAGCAGCAGAAAAAGGCAGGAGGAGGAGAACGCGCCTGTTTGGCGTTGCTGATCAGCGTTCTCATATCCAGCTCCACGTTTCTTAGTGTCAGCTCCACTTTCTGCTTCTCCTGAACCTCCATCTGATGCTGCTCCTCCAACCTCCGCAGCTTGTCCCTGGTAGCGTTGTACATCATGGTGGCATTATGACGGTTTTCCTGCTCTTGCTTCAGTTGAAATCTTCATCAAATGAAACCAAGAAGAATCCTGTTAGCAAACCTGAGTCCAGAGGAGATTATTTTCTAAATATTTGAAAATGAGAAACGTTTTCTTACTTCAGGTTTGTGACTTGGGTCTGCAGTTCTAACTGGTTGCGCTCCAGCAGAGATTTTGCATCTTTAACCTCCTCCAGGGAGCCCTTTAGCGCCTCCCTTTCCATTTCCAGGTGGCTAACCTTCTCTTCCAGATACCCATGGCGGCTTTTCACTTTTTCGATGGCGCGTTCATACTCATGGAAAATGTTCTGCAGCTTTGTGATACTGGTTGAGTCTGAGGAATGAAACAAAGTCAGATCCAACTTCCACATCCTAAAAGATTTTATAATACCAATAAATCAGCGTTCATATAACACGTTCAAACTGAATTATCTGCTTTTATGTTGCATATAAAAGAAGAATGACCCTAAATGATTCCTTAGACGTTGCAGAAGCTCATTACCAAAAGTGGATGAAGTCAGCCTCTGCATGAGGAGGGAGGCGTGACGGTAGCCTGAGGTGGGCGAGTCCATGTCATCTGTGGCTGTGTCCGAGGACTCGGTCAGCTCATCTAAATCATCTGCTGTGTCTATGTCTTCAGGCTTCTGCATCTTAAAAAGAAAAAGTGACCTAAAAATAATCCTATATCAGGTTGAAAGAAGCGGTTAATCCAGTAACTGTTACTGTACCTTCCTTTTCTGCTGCCTTCTAGTCAACAACCTGAGCAAAGAGGAGAAAGAAAGGTCACTTTGATGGCGGATCAGCATGATTGTTGGTAGAATGCAGTCTGCAGGAACGGTTACAAATATCATCATCGATAACGTTAACGCTGGAGGACATCCCTGCTCCTCAGAGGGAACGCCTATTTAACGTGTGTGAAAAATGTGGATTTTTGTTATTCAGAGTTCGGATCATTGTCCTGCTGCATTATGGGTAAGTTTAGGGTCACGCAGAGATGTTACGGCATTCTCCTTCAACATGACCTTCATCAGTTATTGAATATTTTTCTGTTTCTGCCTGAGGAGGCACAACTACTCATGAAGTCAAACAAGCGATGGACCTAAAATATTTACGCTTAGCAAAAGCAGCAGGAACAGAAGAAGGGGGGGGGGCAAACTGTGACAGCAAAATAAATTAAAGGTTTTATGACTTCAAACAAAGACCCACGTCTTTGCTTTGTGTTCAGATTAGCAACACCACATGGGTCAGTGGAATATTGCATATTTACCTTTTTTCATCGTCCGACACGTCACTTAAAGGACTCTCCTCAAACACAGAGAAGGGATCTTCATGTTTGCAGGTCTGAGGGGCCCCGCTGGACGGGGGCCCTGGGGCCTGCAGCTCCATCTGGAATCTTCCTGCTACACCTGGCTTCTCTTTCCTCTTGCTGCTCTGCTGGACTGCAGCTCTGTCGATGCGAAGGAGAGTAATAAACCCGATAGTCAGTGAGCTGCCCGTCTAACTGAGAGAAAAAAAAAGCAACCTAAGCAGACAAAAGTATTAGCACCCCCGGCAAACACTGGTTGAAAAACATTGTTTAAGTAAATGTTGAGAACATTTTGTTTTGATAAATCTCTTGCTTGTTGAACTATTTCATCGTTGACCTGTTGCTCGTTTTGGATCCTATCATGCTGAGAAGCTCCTTAACATCCCATTAATAGCGTTCTTGAACAACTACTGAACCACTTCACCAATTAAAACACGCTGATGTTTTAACTCTGTGGGTTTCTGTCCCTGGGAGCTTCTGGGAAATACTGCTGCGTCCAATTTCTGCCATTTACAGCTGCACACCTCTGCCTGTAATGAAACCTGCTGTAAATGTGCCCACAGAAGCAGATGGGGGAGGGGGGTGCACTTTAACAACTTTCCATGAGAACAGAGAAAGCAACCCTCAACATCATTCCTCCGCCGCCTTGCTTTTGAGGAGCTTTTCTGCTCACCACTCGCTGCTTTCGTCCAAAACTTTCCGAAGCAAACAGATTGTTTTACTTTAGTGATGGTGGAACATAAAGGACAAGATGAGCGACATTAAGCCATCTGCTCACTGATGGTGGGAAAAATATGTTGGTCAGCCTGGAGACCAGTAAGGTAAAAACATTCAGAGAGAGGAGCTGAATGAATAAATTAATGAATGATTTGCTTTTAAGCTTTTTTTTTTTTTAAACCAGTGCAAAGACATGTGGGAGGAGTTTATTTTTCAGCTTCATATATCCTTTTTGGGAATAATCATTTAATCCTACGGTCTCCATAAACAAATGTCTCACTGCCATCTTGAATCACTATTTATTCTGGAAACAAAAGCACAGAACTAAGATTCGTACCTTTTTGAAGGAAAAAGCTGCTCCTGATCACATTCTTCAGCTCGATCCATCCGGCTTCCTGCGCAGGTCTCAGGTTTTCCCCCCGTTTCACTGCTATCCCAGGAGGCTAACGGCTTTCCCTCCTCTAGTTTAGCTGCTGGTTTGCTGATGATCTGAAGAATGAGAAAATATATAATACTTGAGGAATAACCATCCGGCTGAGAAAGGCTGAGGCCTGACTTCAACCTGCATTTTGGATCTTTGCACTTTGTCATCCATAATTCAGTAATGCCGCTTCCACTGGAGACCCAACACCTGAAAGCTACTGAGTTTATTCTACAAGAGTGGATCTAGTATTTTAAATTCTATTCTGGATTTAACAGGAAGCCAATGAAGAGAAGCCAGGATAGGCGAGATATGATCTCTCTTTTTCATTTTCATCAGGACTCTGGCTGCAGCATTTTGGATCAGCTGAAGGCTTTTAACTACAGTTTGTGGACTTCCTGATAGTAAAGAATTACAATAGTCCAGCCTTGAAGTAACAAATGCATGGACTAGTTTCTCAGCATCACCCCTGGACAGGAGATTGCTCATTTTTGCAATATTCCTCAGATGAAAGAAGGAAATTCTAGAAACCTCTTTGATCTGGGATTTAAATGACAGGTCCTGATCAAAAATAACACCAAGATTTTTTACTTTATTATCTCAGCTCGAGGTTTGTAGACTGTGCTGGAAAACATTTTCCCTTTTCTGGAGGGTTCACTGAATGCTAAACTAAATGCACTGAACTTTATCAATCACATGAAAACACAAAGGTTTGTATTTGGTAAAGAAAATGTGAACAGCTCAAGAGGTGAAACGTTTTGCAAAGTGAACTAAATTCTCACTGCTGAACTAAGAAGCACAAAAAATAAACCAAGAGGTTAGAAAACTGTGGAACAAGTTCAATTAAACGCTTCCTGGCATCAACTCAATGGTTTTACTAAATAACATTTTATCTGAGCCATCTCGTGTTAAAGCACATCTAAAAGCTTCCCCAGGATGCAAGAAGAAAACTAAACTAAAAGAAACGCATCATCTCATTTCATGCATCAAAGAAAATTATTATTCATGCAACCTTCACTCACGTTTTACACAAACATGCAAAGTACATGTATGACACATGAATATAGAACAAAATCACAGAAGCTAGTCTGGGATTAGAGTATAGTAGCATATTTTTAGAGTTTGTATTGATTCAGGTTTTTACATTTAATTTGATTTTAAATTTAATCTAATGTACTAACAGTTTTTGAAATGTGTTTTAAATGGTGTAAAAACAGATTAGTTTTAGAGCAAAAGGAGTTTTTATTCGGTCTAAAACTCAAACTGCTAATCAGATTAAGGGTCCTGCCGCCCCTCTGACCCAATGGCTGATCAGCCGTACGTCTCCACAGTTAATATAGTGAAGCTCCGTTTTTATTTAGCCTGAGAAACTGTAGATTTATTAATTCATTTGACATTTTTTGCCAATAAATTCAAAGCAAATCTAGAAAAGGATGAAAAGTTGGTCTTGGTTGATCAAACCAATGTTTAACTATGTTTAGCCACTAATAGACGTCTTTATGAGGACAGTTTTTTAACTTTGAACTGAAAATCTTTTAATTTGTTTAGAAGTAAAGGAATAGGCCTTTCCCTTTTATTTCTGCAGGAAAACCATCATAGTGAAATGAATATAATCAGGACTATTTTTCCCTTACAGCTGTTGGACTTCAAATACCACAATTATCTGGTTGGGTGGAGTTTAACACCAAAGCATAACGTAGAAGTTTAATGACATTATGTAATGGGAAGTTAGTTAGTCCTCAGCAAGCTTCTTTATCTCTTTATAAAAGAGGCTGGAAAGGAAAGTCCGTCTCCTTGACGACAGAAAGAGAGCGTTAGAAAGAACAGCTTTCAATGAGGTGCTAAACGGAAAAGATGCTAAAAACTCACTAAAGGTCTAATTCATCCAGATCAAAGGTTTTCAAAACTAGATTGTCAGAATGGGAGTAAATTAAAATCAGATAGTAGTGATCTTTAGCCTGATGGGATCTATGTAGTCGCAACCTCATTCCATCCATCATCCACAAGCTGAGACTTGTACCATCTCATCCACTGACTGTTAGCTGACTGGTTGGACTGGGAAGAGCTCAGTGTGTTGAAGGGAAAGTAGTATGAATGATGAAACACGAGACAAGGAATAATTAACATGGAACAACAAGGAAACGGGCCTGAACTGAAACAGAGATGCATTCAGGTATCTAAGAAAAGAGAGAATGATGAAGTTCAGAAGCATCAGTGAAAGAGGCAGCAATCATAGGTGGCCTCTTGGCCTTTGCTCTGAGCACCATTCCCAGGATTCCTACCTCAGAGGTAAACTTTGCCACGTCCTCTTCATCGTGTCCTTCTCTGTTGGAGACGTCTAGATGTAGAGGCGGCTCAGACCCTGAAGGTGAAATGCTCCTCCCAGCTTCATGAAGTTGGGTTTTGGTTTTATCCCTTTGGTTTAAATGCTCTTCCCTTTCCTGGGCAGCGCTGAGCTGTGATGAAGAGGCGCCTGGAACATCAGCTGTGATTAGAGCGGACTTATGATCCCGAACTGCCTGATCACAGTCCTGCCACCGTTCCTCACACATGGAGTGATCAGGGGGCCCTAAAGCGGACCCCTCCTGTCTGGTAAGCAGAACAGTAGATGTCGCTCTAGCTGCAGGTCCAACAGTGACTTCTTCATCCACTTCTTCACTGGAATCATCATCTGCAGAGCTGGATGCAGGGCTAGCCTTTTCTGACAGACTCCCTGAGTTCAACATTTCTCCAAACTTCTCTTTTAATTCCCCAGCGACACTCTTAAAGGAGGATTTGACCTCCTTTTTCTCCAACTCCACCCAGAGGTTCTCGTAGCGCTTCTCCCAGGGTTTATCTCCACCAGACTTTTCTTTAAGGCCATCATCGTCCTGTTCTTCAGTGTCAGAGCCTGCGGGGCCTAAGTTTTGCAAACTGAAGTCGCATCCACCTTCTGCACCCTTGTTGTCCTTTGATGTTATGAGCAGGCAAAAGAAACGACAAAAATACAAGAAATTATAATATTGATAATAATATTCAAAACATGGGGGGGACATACATTCAGAACTATTAGTTATATGTGAGATGCGTTTAACATCTAGAATATAAAGATCTTTTCACGTGTAGAATAAACTAAAGCGGTGCTTTCTGTCATGGATTTAAGGAGCATTTTTAGTTCCAGATGTTTTACAGGAGTCCAGGAAGAATTTGGTTTGTGATGTTTATTAGAAGTCTAAATGTTAAACTGTTTTATCCAGAATCTATAAAAAGGATAAATTACAATCAGGACTCATAGTTATTCATCTAATAATTTTCTGTTAGAGCATCAGCGTACCTCCATTTTCAATTCTATATATATAATAAACTGATGTACTTTTCTCCTGTAAATCCGTCGTTGCTCTTGCTCTGCCTAATTCTCCTCAGTCATCACATGGAGCTCCCATAGATATCACTAGAATTCCCAGAGAATTCCAGATTTCCTGCAGGCCCCCCTCCCCTCTTCCAGTCTGTGTATTCACTCTAACTTGCTAAGTGTCCTTGTTGTAATGCTAATTACCTGTGATGTGACCAGTCCTTCTACAGGAGGCTGGATAAAGGCTGAAACTAACTGGCATCAGAACCAGAGCATGCTCCAAACACTTTCATTACCTTCCTCTGCAACATCAGACCTTTCTGCAGGAATATCTTGAAAAGTCAGATCTAAATCTTTTATTTAAAGCTATTGACCAACCAGATATCATACGGGTCCTAGTTCCTGAGCTGAGAACAGGTTATAACCAGCTTTTCCAACAAGGCAAAGAAGAGCCTATTTATATTTTCCATTCACCAACAGACTCATTTATATTGCAAACCTCACTATGTGAAAGAAACTTAGAGAATAATTGTATTTTGTCTGTTCTCACCTTTTTATGTCATTCAACATTTCGGGTTAGAGAATGAAAAACAGTCTGATTTCAGTATTTCACCCAAAGAAAAATCTCTACATATGAAGCTACAATTGTCCCATTTAGTAGTTTTTACAAACCCAAGGTGAGTCCTTCCTGCATTTGTGACATTTATACTTTGCAACAGGAACCACAGCACTGAGCGTTGTGTTCACTGCACACCTGGCCTGCTTATAATAACAATTAATAAATCTCAAACAATAGAGTTTAGCAAATTTTCCCAAATTAAGACTTGTAATTTGAACTAGATGAGGTTATCTATGTGTGCTACAAGTTTGGAGGCACTACAGTGATCTATAGTGTAATTATTGGCTATTATCTGCTTATAATAACAATGAATAAATCTCCAAAAATACAGTTTGGCCTAAGTTCCCAAAGTAAGAGTTTTAGTCTGATCCAGATGAGGTTATCTGTGTATCGTACAAGTTTGGAGGCAGTACAGTGATCTATAGTGCAGTCATTGCAATATGGGAATTGGAGCTATAGAAATAAACTGAATAGAATTGAGTTAAAAAGGGGAATATCCCAGTGATGATTAAATGGTTAACCAATCAGTATGTTGATTGGGTTAAACAGCCACATTTAAGTAGGTTGAAAACAGATGTTCAAACCAACCAGCCTCTGTTACCTTAAAGCTTAAGCTGTTTGTGAAGGAAACTGATTAAATAATGAAATCAAAAATAATTTGTCCTACAGTTTACAGCTATGCATTACAGCCGCTTAGCTTATCGCATATTAGACATGTGTAACCTCTGCCAGTGACTAAGGGACCCTTCATGGATGCAGACTTTAAAATGGGAAGAGATTCAAGACATTTGAGAAAGACAGTGGTTAGATTTTGCTTCTATTGAAAGCCAAAACCTGAATGATATTTTTAGTTTAGCCAATTTAGATCAAGATATTCAAAGGTAGGACTTATTGGAACCAAAGTGAGGATATCTGGTGTATTTTTAGACCGATGTAGTTGAGCTGGAGACTAGAAGGCAGAGTCAACATTTCTCACCTTTACTTGTTGGTCTTCAAAGTCTAAGCCTCTTTCAGTATTTCCTGTCGTCACTGAGAGTTCAGCAGAACCTGGAGGAAGATCAGAGTCAGCAGCCAGAATAGCAGGCATGTGAAGACATACAGGTCATCTATAGAAGCCTTAGTGAACCAGACCTGCCAGCTGCTCAGCAACATTTTGCAGCTGATTGTCAGACAAAGACTTCTTTTCAGAGCCTGTCGTTTTCTCTGGCTCTGAATCTGATTCTGTTTGCAGGAAAAATAAATAAAAGAACAAAATCTATAGTTTAAGACGCTAAGAAATGCAACGAGGATAAAAAAATACGCACCTTCCTCGCTGTCCGGTTTCTGAGGGATCCTCATCCTCACACGGGGTCGGGGCTGAGGAGCGGACTGGGTTGGTGTGCCGGCAGGAGCAGCATCTTCAATCTGTTCGCTACCAGAAGAATTAGCATCTTCCTGAAACTCTTTGAGCTCAGGGTACCCAGGCAAGGCCCCCTTACTGGGAATACTGGTAGAATCCCAGTCTGATCCATCTGCACCATATAAACAAGACATTCTATGTTAGGAATCAATTATGTTTATTAAGAGTTCATCTCGAATCAACCCCCCCCCCTCAGCCATGGGTGCTTCTACACCCTTTCAATCCACTCTAAAGAAGTTAGATGTCGTGTTTAAAAGCTGAAGTGCTTTAATTTTATTTAAACTCTTTTACTGCGACTGAGCGACTTTTCCTGCTGATGGTGGACAGAAAAGAACAGTCAGCCCCACATCAAACCAGCTTTTAGATCAAATCATGATTTTCCTCATTCTGCACCAACTGTCACTCTTGTATTATAAACTATCAGTTTTCTGTTAGTCAGTTGCTATTGGAAACAAGTTTTAAAGGAAAATAGAAAAGGTTTACAGAATGAACTTGTCCTAAACTAAGTATTTTTAAAGTGAAATCCTCTAAAAGTATAATATGAAGCAGGTATAAGTGGTTGGTTTAGACACGGTAGCTCTCCTGTTTGATGGGAATCATTCAAAAATAAAGGATCCGATTTTCTAGTGTAGAAACAAAACAAAAAGAACAATAATCTCACCTTCCAGATCGTCGACGTCTCCCACGCCGAGCTCTTCCCCGATGTCCATTTCTTCTTTAGGTTTGCTGAAAATTCTTCGCAGTTCCCGTTTTGGACTTTCACTCTGGTTGAAATTAAAAACACATTTCTGTTATTTTAGCCTTTATTCATTAAGTTCTGAGGCTCAACCAGACTCACCTTTTTCTGTAGTGTAGCGTCTTTATCAGCGCCCCCCCCTACATCCTGTTTACCGTCTTTTCCAGCTGCAAAAGAAGGGAAACTTTTTAACATCAGCAACTTACAAGTTTTTCTGTAAACGGTGAGTTTTTCCTGTTGTTGGGAGGTGAGAAGCATTCTCATGCATATGAGCTGGAGGTTAGTATGAACTTACATGCCTTAGTGGGATCCATGCCAACTGACTGATCTGACTGGCTTTAGCAACAGCCAAGACTAGCAAAATTTAAACCACATCATCATTTTCAAAAGAAAGCAAGCTTAGGTTGCCTCATGCAGTGTTTTGCAGAAGCACAGCAGTCTGGGTAACGGAGTTCTGACAACAACTGGCATCATTTCAAAGAGCAATGGCACAGGGAAGTTAGCTGCTCATGCTAACATTTCCAAACACATTAGCTGAGCATGGCAGTAGAAAATGATATATAGGTAGCTCTACCCGTCTTAAAACATGTAAACAAAACATTAACATCTAAAAGCATTATCTATGAGTCAATATAATTCATACAGGAGCTAGAAGATAAAAAAAAATATATATATATAAAAAAAAAAAATGAACAGAACTAAAAAAGGTACAACGTCTCAATCAGTGAACATTTTCCAAATGGTTTTGTATTTTGAGAAATAATTGCCAAAAGTATAAAGTCTGTCACACATCTGCCTGCATATTGTGAGGGACACAAACTACTGGACCCCGAAGGCTAATTTATGCTTCTGACGCAGAGCCTCTGCAACCGTCAAACCCGTCTCTGTGCGCGACCACCCCCTCCGCGCAGAGCCTCTTCAACCGTCAAACCCGTCTCTGTGCGCGACCACCTCCCCCGCGCATTGCCTCTTCAACCGTCAAACCCGTCTCTGTGCGCGACCACCCTCTCCGCGCATTGCCTCTTCAACCGTCAAACCCGTCTCTGTGCGCGACCACCCCCTCCGCGCAGAGCCTCTTCAACCGTCAAACCCGTCTCTGTGCGCGACCACCCCCCCCGCGCATTGCCTCTTCAACCGTCAAACCCGTCTCTGTGCGCGACCACCCTCTCCGCGCATTGCCTCTTCAACCGTCAAACCCGTCTCTGTGCGCGACCACCCCCTCCGCGCATTGCCTCTTCAACCGTCAAACCCGTCTCTGTGCGCGACCACCCTCTCCGCGCATTGCCTCTTCAACCATCAAACCCGTCTCTGTGCGCGACCACCTCCCCCGCGCATTGCCTCTTCAACCGTCAAACCCGTCTCTGTGCGCGACCACCCCCTCCGCGCAGAGCCTCTTCAACCGTCAAACCCGTCTCTGTGCGCGACCACCCCCCCCGCGCATTGCCTCTTCAACCGTCAAACCCGTCTCTGTGCGCGACCACCTCCCCCGCGCATTGCCTCTTAAACCGTCAAACCCGTCTCTGTGCGCGACCACCCCCTCCGCGCAGAGCCTCTTCAACCGTCAAACCCGTCTCTGTGCGCGACCACCTCCCCCGCGCAGAGCCTCTTCAACCGTCAAACCCGTCTCTGTGCGCGACCACCCCCTCTGCGCATTGCCTCTTCAACCGTCAAACCCGTCTCTGTGCGCGACCACCTCCCCCGCGCATTGCCTCTTCAACCGTCAAACCCGTCTCTGTGCGCGACCACCCCCTCCGCGCATTGCCTCTTAAACCGTCAAACCCGTCTCTGTGCGCGACCACCCCCTCCGCGCAGAGCCTCTTCAACCGTCAAACCCGTCTCTGTGCGCGACCACCCCCTCCGCGCAGAGCCTCTTCAACCGTCAAACCCGTCTCTGTGCATGACCACCTCCCCCGCGCATTGCCTCTTCAACCGTCAAACCCGTCTCTGTGCGCGACCACCCCCTCCGCGCAGAGCCTCTTCAACCGTCAAACCCGTCTCTGTGCGCGACCACCCCCCCCGCGCATTGCCTCTTCAACCGTCAAACCCGTCTCTGTGCGCGACCACCCCCTCCGCGCAGAGCCTCTTCAACTGTCAAACCCGTCTCTGTGCGCGACCACCTCCCCCGCGCATTGCCTCTTCATTCGTCAAACCCGTCTCTGTGCACGACCACCCCCTCCGCGCAGAGCCTCTGCAACCGTCAAACCCGTCTCTGTGCATGACCACCCTCTCCGCGCAGAGCCTCTTCAACCGTCAAACCCGTCTCTGTGCGCGATCACACCCCCCTGCAACTGTCGTCGCACACCTAAAAAAAATATCCTGACTATGCGTCGGACGGTCGCAAACCCGCACAGTCCTCAAGCAGAAGTGACAAAAAGCCGCTGTGATTGGTCCTTGCTATGCCTTTCCGGCTGTCTTTGTGGTCATTATTCTCGATTTGGTGCCGGGGGCCCCATTATCAAAAACTGAGGAGCAACTACGACGAAAGGTTAATCGAGGAAGTTTGGAAGTACAATCCGTCGAGGTTCTCGCGAGTTCTCCAATAGGCTCCCCTTAAGCTGTGGCAGCAAACTGCTGTGCCTCCCTAGAATTTCCAGACCGACGGTGCAGAAGCAAACCAGCAGAACTGGTTGGCGACCAGCGCCAAGCGACATCTGATGTGTGCGGATACAGAAGTCTAATATGCCCTTAACTCTCTTGGTCTCCCGCTGGCAGAACTCTTCTATCTCCATGGCTCTGTGCAGAAGTATCCAACCTGTCATTCATACAAGACAGAGCACCTCATAGATGGAAACCCCTCCCTCAATAATCGATGTTGACTCTGTAATCCAGGACTAAATAGACTTAATGTTTCCTAAAAAGGCTTCATCTCTCGTTTACGACACTTCTTCCAAACATAGCTTGAGAGTTAGCAAAAGCAACACCAAGAAAGAAAGGCGGGTTTAGGTGTCATCCTTCTCACCCATAATGTGTTGGAAACCAGACCTAACCTTAACTGGTTCCCCTGGACCAGCTTTTTAGATACAACAGAAGAAGAGTCAGCATGCAAACGCACGCCATGTTTTTGCTTTTTCTTCTAAAACTCTATGAAAGCCATATGCACTACTTAGGGTTGGTCTACAATGCGCAATTAAAATAAAATACATTGAGAGCTGTTGTTATATGTTTAAAGAGGACTCTAAACCTTTTGGAAAAAAGCTAGGAACTTTTCTTCTGCAAGGCACTGAATAAAAACATCCCTTGAGGCCAATATGGCTGAATAAAGCAGGAAGAGTGAATGATGCATGCATCTAGTGATCGGACGATGAAGCGATGGTGAGGTCTCTGATTAGTTGGGAGTAAAGACAGGCGTACCCTCTCCCTGGCTGCCTTGTGGCGTGCCTACACACACCTCTGCCATCCTACTGCATCCCTTCCCTCTTAAAAAAGAAGGAATGTAAAACATATCTACAAAAGAAAAAACAAACTGTTGGAAGGTTTGGGTTAAGGGACATTCTATACATCAATAGCTATATGGAGGTTTAGTCACTGGTCATCAACACTGAATAGGTAAAGGTTTCTGCGGCGTGGAATGTTGGCTGGAATGACGACTTTTACAGCGAAAAAACATTGAAAAAAGTGATCATTAATATATTGTTTTACTTTCTTTGAGGGGATCCTGAAGAGCAGGCTTTTCTTCTAGAATTAGACCATCTAGATCTTGCTCCTCTTTATGAGGTATGTTGGAAAGTTCAGAGTTGGGCTGAAAAATGAAAATAAATTAGAATCCTTTAAACTGAGAAAAACCAAACAACAATAATGTGATTAGGAGTGGTTGTTTGCTTCATACTTCAGAGTCCCATGGACTTTCCTCCTCTTCCTCTGTGGTCAGACCAAGCTCTGAGCGAAAATCTAAATCACAAATTAAGTTGATTACTTTCAATGGAAATAAAAAAAATACAGAATACATTACAAAGCAGGATTTTTTATCCTTAGATCCTCAATATATTTAATTATATTTTATAAATACAATGATTCTCCTGTTCATCCAGCCAAGATGTGATAAAAAAATAAAGCTGATAATCCCAGACATAATGGATCAATAAAGATCATCCATTCACTAAACTTTCTCTATCACTCTGACAGCTATCACTTTGGGTGGAGGGATGGATGATGGATGGTGGGTGGATGATGATGGATGGATGGTGGGCGGGTGATGGATGGATGATGGGTGGATGGTGGGCGGGTGATGGATGGATGATGGATGGAGGGATGGATGATGGATGGAGGGATGGTGGGTGGATGATGATGGATGATGATGGATGGATGGATGATGGATGGAGGGATGGTGGGTGGGTGGATGATGATGGATGGATGGGGCATGATGGGTGGGTGGGTGGATGATGATGGTGGGTGGATGATGATGGATGGATGATGGGTGGATGATGGATGGGGGATGATGGGTGGATGGTGGGCGGGTGATGGATGGATGATGGATGGAGGGATGGATGATGGATGGAGGGATGGTGGGTGGATGGATGGTGGGTGGATGATGATGGATGGATGGATGATGGATGGAGGGATGGTGGGTGGATGATGATGGTGGGTGGATGATGGGTGGATGATGATGGATGATGATGGATGGATGGATGATGGATGGAGGGATGGTGGGTGGATGGATGGTGGGTGGATGATGATGGATGGATGGATGATGGATGGAGGGATGGTGGGTGGATGATGATGGTGGGTGGATGGGGAATCTTTGTTGATAGGAGTTTTTCATACCTCTTTCTATAACTTGACCACCTTCTGCTTTGTGAAGAGTGGAAGCTGCGTCACAGACCTTCCCACCATCTTCAGACTGGTTGTCATGGTCCTCTTCATCACCCTCTTGCTCATCCTCATCCTCAGTGGAATTTAGTTGCTGGTGAAAAGGATTCATAAAATGTTAGGAACCAAGTTTAATGGTTTCTGACGTCACATCAAACAGATAAAAAGAAAGGTTAGAGGTCTTCCTGGGGACTGGAGTCCCTGTAGGGCCCAGAGTAGACCTGCATGGTCCTGTGAGACACCTGGTCCAGAGACTGAAGGATGGACGGTCCAACTGAGGCTGTAGGTGAAAAACAGCCCTGTGGAATCTCGGCTGTAGGATGTACCAAGAACGAGGCAGCTAACAAAACCTTCCTGATTTACCTGAACGTCAGCCTCTGATTTACCTGAACGTCAGCCTCTGATTTACCTGAACGTCAGCCTCTGATTTACCTGAACGTCAGCCTCTGATTTACCTGAACGTCAGCCTCTGATTTACCTGAACGTCAGCCTCTGATTTACCTGAACGTCAGCCTCTGATTTACCTGAACGTCAGTCTCTGATTTACCTGAACGTCAGCCTCTGATTTACCTGAACGTCAGCCTCTGATTTACCTGAACGTCAGCCTCTGATTTACCTGAACGTCAGCCTCTGATTTACCTGAACGTCAGTCTCTGATTTACCTGAACGTCAGTCTCTGATTTACCTGAACGTCAGCCCCTGATTTACCTGAACGTCAGCCTCTGATTTACCTGAACGTCAGCCTCTGATTTACCTGAACGTCAGCCTCTGATTTACCTGAACGTCAGCCTCTGATTTACCTGAACGTCAGCCTCTGATTTACCTGAACGTCAGCCTCTGATTTACCTGAACGTCAGCCCCTGCTTTACCTGAACGTCAGCCTCTGATTTACCTGAACGTCAGCCTCTGATTTACCTGAACGTCAGCCTCTGATTTACCTGAACGTCAGCCTCTGATTTACCTGAACGTCAGCCTGATTTACCTGAACGTCAGCCTCTGATTTACCTGAACGTCAGCCTCTGATTTACCTGAACGTCAGCCTCTGATTTACCTGAACGTCAGCCTCTGATTTACCTGAACGTCAGCCTCTGATTTACCTGAACGTCAGCCTCTGATTTACCTGAACGTCAGCCTCTGATTTACCTGAACGTCAGCCTCTGATTTACCTGAACGTCAGCCTCTGATTTACCTGAACGTCAGCCCCTGATTTACCTGAACATCAGCCTCTGATTTACCTGAACGTTAGCCTCTGATTTACCTGAACATCAGCCTCTGATTTACCTGAACGTCAGCCTCTGATTTACCTGAACGTCAGCCCCTGATTTACCTGAACGTCAGCCTCTGATTTACCTGAACGTCAGCCCCTGATTTACCTGAACATCAGCCTCTGATTTACCTGAACATCAGCCTCTGATTTACCTGAACATCAGCCTCTGATTTACCTGAACGTCAGCCCCTGATTTACCTGAACGTTAGCCTCTGATTTACCTGAACATCAGTCTCTGCAGTGTGTTTTAGCTCTGGGAATCTCATGCTGGTGTTCTCAGATGGATCAGATGAGCTTAGGTCCACATCATCAATGTCAGTCTGAGGTAACGCCTCATCAGACACCTCTGAACTCAGAAGCTGGCCACTGGCACCCAGATCTTTGCTCCGTCCGTCGTCATACGACCCTCCTGTTTTTCCAGTTTTATTTTCAAGTGGAGCAAATGATGTTAATCTAGCTTCACTCTCATCCACTGACCTGCCACCTACATGTCCACTCAAACCAGTAGCGCCAACAGAATCAGGAACATCTAGTGGTTTGATTGTAGCGCTAGCAAAGCTATACTGGAGTTTTTGATGCTTGCTGTCTGAGTCCTCACTAGACTCACTGTCTTTACTCTGGATTTTCCCAGCATGCATCTGTTCTCCCTGAGCTTTGGTTTCATCTTTGCCATCATAACGTCCATCAATAAGGGAGCAGGGAATCACTTTGTTGTCATCAGCCTGAATAAAGTCTGTTTTGGCGTCTTTCTCATCGACTGACCTTCCGTCTTCGGGGTTCAGTGACGGCAAATTGACATCAGTTGGAAGTGATGTTAGCTGCTTCTCTGAATCAGCACTTTCATCTTCCCAACTACTGCTGCCCCCTTCCTCCTTTTCAGAATCAAACCTTTCTTCCATTTTCAAGAAAGACGCTGCTGGTTCTCCGTCCTCAAACGCTGCCTGTTTAGGGCTTTCATTCTCGGGTGCTACCAGGGAGGGGTCACTGGATTCTTTATAAATCCCGTGTCTGTCCTCTTCTTCCAAGGAGAATTGGTGCGTATGTTTCACCTTGCAGTGAGCCTCAGCAGCTGCTTGAGAATCAGCTGAGGTAGCGTCATATTTAGCACCAGGATCTTCTTGGTTGTCGGCTTCGGAAGAATCCCAGTCAGATTCACCTGCAGTTGCTGCAGCTGGTTTGATTCGAGCCTCAGGAGAACTTTGCAGACCTGGTTTTGCAGATGGCGATAGAGGTGAGGAAGACTCCAATGAGGTAGCATGCTGCTCCACTTCTGGAGGTAAAGAAGCTGCTTGCTGCTGCTTTCCCAGTGCTGGAACATCCTGTTCTTGTTGTAGGACGTGATCATCTGCCTGCCTCTCTTCAGGTTCGTCGGCGTCACTTCCCTCCATCGAGGAGCCCCATGAGGATCTACGTTTAAAAGGCTCCCTCTCTGACGATCCATGGTCTTCCACATCAGATTCAGTGTTTTCTCCGACCTTGGCTAACAGCGATCTTGGAAGGGCGATCAAAGCGCTGCCGCCCATTCCCTCTTCTTCATTGCCTCCCTGATCATCATGGCTGTCTGCACTGTTTTGCTTATCGCTCAAGGAATCCTTGTCCTCATCTCCTGTTTCTCTGTCTGACCCTACATCTTTGATCCTGCCAGGTGACCGGACCCATCTTTCTGTTGGACATTGATTTGGATTGATTTGGAGATGTGATGGCTTCATGCATTCCTCGTCTTCATCAGACAGCTTAGATTCCACCCTAATGGCAGAAACAATGCAGTCCTCTGCAACATCTAGTGTTGCTGGCCGGGCAAAGCTTTGGGCTCCATCGGGTCTGTTGAGATCCGTGTTTTCTGCCTCTGCTTTGTCACTTTTCTCCGATATATAATTAATCTGGAGTTTTACAGCAGACCCAGTGGGAGGAGGGGAATCAGTGTAAGGAGCGTTTTGAGCATCAGCTGTGGTATAATCCACCGTAGAGCCTTCTGCCTCAGATTCATAAGCCTCATTTTCCTCCTCTTCTTCACTTTCATCACTTTCTACACTCTCCTCCTCTTCCTCCTCCTCATCATCATCCTCTTCTTCTTCTTCCTCCTCCTCTTCCTCAATTTCTTCTTCCTCTGCGTCTTCTTCAGAGTCCTCACTGACAGAGGCTGCCTGCTGGGAGTTGTTAGCCCCTAAATATCGCTCTCCTTTTACTCCTTTTAGTGAACTTTCTCCTTATTTTTTGGCATTCAGGAAAAAAAAAAAACAGAAGGAGAGAAAGTCGTCACAAGAAAAGCTTTTTCACAAACAAATGTACCTTTCTAGCGCTTGGGAGAGGAGTAGAAGCCATCCGGGGTGATTTGGGAAGAAGGGAGGAAACGGCTGGGAGATCTACTGGGTGCTGAGGAGAGGCTGGGATTCTTTGGACACCAGTTTCACTTTCCTCCTCTGATTCTGTGTCACTCCGGGACGTTTCGGGTAGCACAGGAGCTACGGGGCAGGCGGGGATCAGAGATCGCTTACAAAAGATGACTAAACTAGTGATTCTTGTTACCTTTTCCCATTTTAGATCCAAATATTTGGCTGATCTTAGATGGTTTCTAAAATTCAGAAAAGTAAAACTGAACGTTAAATTCCAAGAATATTAGCTGCTGTGTATGATGGGAAATAAGCCTTCCTAACCTTTTCTGCAGATTCATCCTCATCCTCTGTTGAAGGCCACTCATCATTCGCACTTTTAGAAGCTCTAAGAGGAAAGAAAATACTTTACAACCAGGAAATCAGTCACAAAGTTTAAATGCAACAAAAGAAACATGCATACCGACTAACTGACTCTGACAAGGAATCATCTTCCAAATCTGCAAAACAAAATAAAACATTTAATTAAAAGGATCATTCAGAGGGATTTATAGAAAACAAAGGAATAAGCAGGACTAAACTTTAAAATGATAGAAGTATTATTGTTCTATTTTAAACTGAAGCATCAACTACTAACACAATGGTACAAGTAGGGCTGAGACTAACCATTATTTTGCTAATTGATTAAACAGTCGATTTCTTTCCGATTAATCGATTAATAATTAGATAGTCAAAGGATAACAAAAGAAATGTAATCAACTGAACTAAAACTTTTCCACTTGAGGAGTTTTGGATTATAGAGCAGATTGACAGAAGATTTTTTTTTAAATCTTAAATGTGAAATGTTAACATGTTTTCTTTATAATCTCTGTATAATTGGTGCTCAAAGTGAGTCGCTCTGTCAGCTAAAGGCCTGTTTTAGTCTCTATACTCCAGTTAATGATTAATTAATAACTAAATTAGTTTATGATTATGTCTATAATCTATTAATTCGAATTAATTGTTTTAGTCCTAAGTACAAGTTTGATCAATTAACTTAGAAAAACAGCAATTGGACCAACACTAGACACAAAAGTTAACGTCTTAGACTTTAAGCCAATGAATCAAAAATCCCGTTCTTAAAAGTTTTAGCAGTTAAGGAAACAGGTTTTAAACCTTGATTTTAAGCTAGAAGTATTTTACAGTGTTTGAGGTGAAAAAGATGGAGTCAGTGGAAGGACGTTAGAAGTGGCGTGATGTGCTCCATACGTTGGTGACGACGCCGGCGGCAGCAATGATCCACTTTAAGCAGACTGATGATGACAATCAATTCAACTAATGGATTCAATTATCAAGATCCTGAAGAGAAATTAGTCCTTTAATCCTGGAAATGTTCTCAAATTGATAAAAGGGTGACTGACTGTTTCTACATGCCTCTGAAGGCCAAGATTTCCTGCCTTTATTAATCAGTCCTCCTTTGAATTAAAAAATATAAATTATATGTATTCATGTATTGTTTTTATTCAGCTGAAGTAAAGTTTAGCAAAGCCATGCATTGATTTCCACTTAGCATTTATAAAGCTGAGTATCATCTGCAAAGTAATTTAGACTGTTTGCTATAATCGGAGCCAGAGGGAGGATGTATTTATAAGATAGAACATCAGGGAAGCTCACGTGAGTTTTAAGGTCTCTGATGTTAAGTTAGAAAATCCTTAAATTTAAAGCAGTCAGTAGCTCCAGTAATATAACTGCAAGTCTTTAAGGTGCTTCTTTACACATCGTATGGACGCCACACTGTTTTCAGACTTTTCTTCTCTGCCTCTTTGAATCATTCTATCCCATAATATCCAAATAAGCAGCAACATCTAAATTTGTATGAAATGTGAAAAAGAGGTAATCAATCGCTTCATTTGGCCCTTTTAGAGTTTAATCATTTTCTCAACATTTCCAGCATTTAAAAGGCAGAAGGATTCTGTCTGAACACTGAAAGCGGTGAGCGTCTCGTCTGACTAGCAAAGCGATGGTCAGCGCGGCGCGCAGGAGATCAGGTCGACCCTGCGCCTGGTGAGCGCAGTGGAAGACCATTCAACCCTCTGCAACTGACTAAGATCATCCAAGCATAGTACCTCCCCCTGCTTCATTTGTTCCACGCTCTAGATCCGGTTATGCATGAGGAATAAATGAAACGATCAGATGGTCAGACATGAGGAAACAAACTTACTCATATATCATCTTATTACAATAAATGCCTACCACCTTTATTAGTGGCTGGTCCTCCTAAAGAAAAGCTTGTGTCAACATCTTGGGAAGGAAAAGCCAAAATGTTTTTCTTCTTGCTTGGACCTGGATGTGAGACGGAGGCTCTAGGAGTCTGCTTGGTTCCATGTTCTGTGATCAATAGACAACAACTGCAAAAAACAAACACAGTCATCTTATCAAAGCGCTGATTAAATGCAAGATGAGTGAAGAAAATGATAAAACACATTTTTCTTTGCTTTGTCATTATTTAAACACAATTAAACTAGATACACTTAAACTTAGATTACCAACCTGTTTGATGATCAGATATCGGTCATGTTAGTGAAAACAATCTATTTCTAAACATCAAATGAAACTCGGCTGCAGTGTAAACCTAAAATCTGCTCAGGTCACCTTTGCTTTGCATTAGTGGAAACCGTGGATCTGCTAACGGCATGAAAACCAGGCTGAAAACTGCTTCCAGACCAGGATCTAGACTTAGACTCAGCTTTATTTAATTGCTGGGATTACTCCTTCAGGGAAATTCTGTTTCCAGTAACTTTGGTTATTTGTTGCAACATTCAGTTGTGACAAATAATCAAAACCAGCAAAAATAATGTTTGTATAATTTAGGATAAATAAGTTTTGATATTTTAACAGGAATTCCAGTTAAAGGTGTGATTCTTTCACTTTAATAGACCGTTGTTGCTTTAGAAATAAAGCTCACCTGTTATGGCCATTTCTTACTGCGTAGTCATCAGCTGACCAGCCTTTGTCGTCCTGAATCGTGACGTCTGGCTGGAACTGCAAGAGAAGCTTGACCATCCTGTGTTGCCCGCCGCCGGCAGCGAGCATCAAAGGAGACCTGGATGTGGAATCGATGGCAGCAGAAGAACATGAAACACGGGGGTCATTACCCAGAGCCGACAAATGATGGTTTAATACTAGCCTGTGTTCTCGGTCCAGAGAATTCACGTCAGCCGTCTCTTTCAGGAGAAACTCGGCCATTTCTAACCGGTCCTCACGGACTGCTACGGTCAGCGGCGTGAAGCCCTCCTGAACCACAGATCAAACATCATTTGAAACTAATCAAAATATGTTTTCAGAGGAAATATTTCTTCAGCAAAATGAGATGTAGAGGTAAATAAAAACAGCCGTAACGTCTTTGTAGAGGTTAGGCACCTTATTAAGTATTAAATATTCCCTTTAATGAACCAAAAATATATAAGAAGCTTAACTTTTCTCGATAAAAATGTAAGAGTATAAATCCAAATTCTCCAATCCGAAGCATTTCAACCAAATCTATAATTCAAACAGGAACGATAATCACCTTGTTTTGAGCGTTGATTTCGGCCCCATGGTGCAGCAACAGTCCTGCCATGGATAGCGACGGGATGTTTGCTGCTAAATGGAGGGCTGTGTTCCCATTGATGTCCTCTAGATTGGGACTGGCTCCGTTTTCCAACAATATAGTCAAGCAGCCCTCATGCTGGCCCTGAACAGCCTGTGAACCAAACATAATGAAGGAGGAAGGAAATGGTGAAAAGAACCCCAGTGGAAAAGAAAAAATTTTATTTCATTGAGTTTAGGGAAGCAAAACCTCATGTTGACTAATTCTGCCTTTAATCTGGGTCCTTTTTTCCAGGTCCCAAACCTTCTAAAGATGATTAAACCAACTTCTGTCAAATGTCAGTAAATGTGGTCGAGGGGTAGACCATGCAGAGCCGTAGACTCCTGCTCTAATTCATTCTCCCTTTGTCTCCCAAACATTGTCTGTTTGGTTAATAGAATCATTGCTTTGATTATGTCACCATAATCTGCTAATAACGCACATTTAATGCAAAGACAACACTAATAGGAAAAAAGATGAAGGGCCTTAAAGAGACTTTAAAATATGATTAAAAAATAACAAGATAATAATGGAAAAGAATAGAGTAAGGCTTCATGTGACTTCAGTTAAAGGCCTACAAACACAACTGCACTGAAAAAACATCCCAAAAATAAAACAAGCCAGCAGTAACATTAGGAAGCTTAACTTTATCGCTCTATAGCATAAACATGAACAGCTGCAGTACTTTTATTTATTTAAGCTTTTCTGGATCAAACCAACCTCATACCTGATGTTAAAGCGCTGTTAGCTAAACTAAAGCCAATTCCACTATGGTCCCCTGGTGACTTATGCTGTTTTTGCGTTTAACCCTTTTTTTTCTTTTAATAGCAATTAGTCGCAGCAATAGAGCCAAGCTTCTCCCAGCAGAGGTGAGAAACGAAAGAGGAAACGTCCAGGAATTGACTGGTAGTAAAAAAGATACCCAGAGGGACGAGACAAAGCAGGAGATAAAATCTGAAAGTCGAGGGAAGCGGGAGCAGAAGCACTGGAAGCTACCAAATGATGGAATCATAAGAAAGTTCTGCCAGCAGATGGCAGCGGTGTTTGGGTTTCCTTGATGATGCCTGATGAAAAAATTATTTTCCAGCTTAAAAACAGCTGAATGAGTAACCAAGGCTGCGCTCACACTGCAGCTTTAAATGCTCTAGTCCATTTTTTTAGTGAAGTCCGATTCTTTAGTTTGGTCGTTTAGATTTCCAAATATGCGACTTATTGTGATCTCCTGTGTGAACCGCATTCATACAACTTGTCCTGCATGGCAGCAGAGGATGCAATGACGTCACAAGCAGCGACGGAATGTGATCAGCAACACTCCATGAGATAATAGAGAGGCTTCATGTTTTCTCTGAGAATCGCCGTTACCTTCATTAAGGCGGATCTGTGTTGATTGTCTCGTAGGTCAAGCTTGGCTTTGCTATCAACAAGGAGCTGCACCACTTCAGCATGACCAGTAGCACAGGCAACATGAAGCGCAGTTCTGTTAAAAAGAAAACAGTTTCTCATCTCGTTAAACATTTAACAGGCATTTTTTAAAATCTCCAAATAAATAGAAATAAATCAAACAGATCGGAATCTAATTATTTATTTCGCTGCACTGAAAAACCAAGAAATCCAACCAATTGATGCACTTTGATGCAGTAGTTTAACTTTAATAAAAATCATACACAGTTGAAATCAAATAATTACTTCTTAATTTTGTCTTTTTTTCTGAGTTCAAAACTCAGCAAAAGATTTTCAAGTTTTCAAGATTTTTAATTTCTATTAAAGAATTTAATCCCAATCTTCTTATTTATGCTGTAAAATAACAAGATATTCTGACAATCGGTCCAGTTTATCCCTAAACTGGAAGAGATAAATCAGACTAATTATAATTAATCAATTAGTGAAATGATCATTAACTAATTTACTAATCGATTAATCGTTAACTTTAGTTTAGAGTCTAAAACATGCCTTTAGCTTAAAGAGCAACCCACTCAGAGAAATTATTACCACAATTGTGAAAAACAAACATTCTGCATCCAAAAATCTTTTTTTGTCCATTAATATGTTCTATCAGTCAGCAGGTCGGGTTTGGACCAGCCCTGGAGCTGACGGCTCGGTTCGCCCAGTACGGTCCAGTCAGCCGCCCAGCCAAGACTGTGAAAATGTTCCGCCTCCTCCGGTCAGCCTGGAACGCTGCATTTCCACCTGTTTTTCATCTTCAATAGAGAAACTTCCTGCTCTCTAATTCTAGTAGAAGTAAACCCAACTGTAGGCGAAACAGCTAAACTGCTGTCTTCCATCTTCCTCTATTCTCTATTCCTCTATTCTCTATTCCTCTATTCTATTCTTGAGCCAGTGAGCTGGTCTGGATGCCAATATCAGCGCGACAAAACTACCGGCCACAACCAAATAAGGCAAAACATCCCCGAGTTCACTTCAACTAGGTGCTTCGTTTGGATTCACCCGTTTTATAAAATTCCAGACCGGATGAACCTCCATATTAAAGCATTATTCCAGACCCGATGAACCTCCATATTAAAGCATTATTCCAGACCGGATGAACCACCATATAAAAGCATTATTCCAGACCGGATGAACCTCCATATAAAAGCATTATTCCAGACCGGATGAACCTCCATATAAAAGCATTATTACAGACCGGATGAACCTCCATATTAAAGCATCATTCCAGACCGGATGAACCTCCATATTAAAGCATCATTCCAGACCGGATGAACCTCCATATTAAAGCATTATTCCAGACCGGATGAACCTCCATATAAAAGCATTATTACAGACCGGATGAACCTCCATATAAAAACATTATTCCAGACCGGATGAACCTCCATATAAAACCATTATTCCAGACCGGATGAACCTCCATATAAAAGCATTATTCCAGACCGGATGAACCTCCATATTAAAGCATTATTCCAGACCGGATGAACCTCCATATTAAAGCATTATTCCAGACCGGATGAACCTCCATATAAAAGCATTATTACAGACCGGATGAACCTCCATATTAAAGCATCATTCCAGACCGGATGAACCTCCATATTAAAGCATCATTCCAGACCGGATGAACCTCCATATAAAAGCATCATTCCAGACCGGATGAACCTCCATATAAAAGCATTATTCCAGACCGGATGAACCTCCATATAAAAGCATCATTCCAGACCGGATGAACCTCCATATAAAAGCATTATTCCAGACCGGATGAACCTCCATATAAAAACATTATTCCAGACCGGATGAACCTCCATATAAAAGCATTATTCCAGACCGGATGAACCTCCATATAAAAGCATCATTCCAGACCGGATGAACCTCCATATTAAAGCAATATTCCAGACCGGATGAACCTCAACATTAAAGCATTATTCCAGACCGGATGAACCTCCATATTAAAGCATTATTCCAGACCGGATGAACCTCAACATTAAAGCATTATTCCAGACCGGATGAACCTCCATATTAAAGCATTATTCCAGACCGGATGAACCTCAACATTAAAGCATTATTCCAGACCGGATGAACCTCCATATTAAAGCATTATTCCAGACCGGATGAACCTCCATATTAAAGCATCATTCCAGACCGGTTGAACCTCCATATAAAAGCATCATTCCAGACCGGATGAACCTCAACATTAAAGCATCATTCCAGACCGGTTGAACCTCCATATAAAAGCATTATTCCAGACCGGATGAACCTCCATATAAAAACATTATTCCAGACCGGATGAACCTCCATATAAAAGCATTATTCCAGACCGGATGAACCTCCATATAAAAGCATCATTCCAGACCGGATGAACCTCCATATAAAAGCAATATTCCAGACCAGATGAACCACCATATAAAAACATTATTCCAGACCGGATGAACCTCCATATAAAAGCATTATTACAGACCGGATGAACCTCAACATTAAAGCATTATTCCAGACCGGATGAACCTCCATATAAAAGCATCATTCCAGACCGGATGAACCTCCATATAAAAGCATTATTACAGACCGGATGAACCTCAACATTAAAACATTATTCCAGACCAGATGAACCTCCATATAAAAGCATTATTCCAGACCGGATGAACCTCCATATAAAAACATTATTCCAGACCGGATGAACCTCCATATAAAAGCATCATTCCAGACCGGATGAACCTCCATATAAAAGCAATATTCCAGACCAGATGAACCTCCATATAAAAACATTATTCCAGACCAGATGAACCTCCATATAAAAGCATTATTCCAGACCGGATGAACCTCCATATAAAAGCATTATTACAGACCGGATGAACCTCCATATTAAAGCATCATTCCAGACCGGATGAACCTCCATATTAAAGCATTATTCCAGACCGGATGAACCTCCATATAAAAACATTATTCCAGACCGGATGAACCTCCATATAAAAGCATTATTACAGACCGGATGAACCTCAACATTAAAGCATTATTCCAGACCGGATGAACCTCCATATACAGGTGCTGGTCATAAAATTAGAATATCATGAAAAAGTAGATTGATTTCAGTAATTCCATTTAAAAAGTGAAACTTGTATATTATATTCATACATTACATACAAACTCATATATTTCAGATGTTTATTTTGTTTAATTTTGATGATTACAAATGACAACAAATGAAAATCTCAAATTCATCATATCAGAAAATTAGAATATTACTGAAGACCAATAAAAACAAAGGATTTATAGAAATGTTGGCCAACTGAAAAGTATGAACATGAAAAGTATGAGCATGTACAGCACTCAGTATTTAGTTGGGCCTCCTTTGGCCTGTATTACTGCAGCAATGCGGCGTGGCATGGAGTCGATCAGTCTGTGGCACTGCTCAGGTGTTATGATAGCCCAGGTTGCTCTAATAGTGGCTTTTAGCTCTTCTGAATTGTTGGGTCTGGTGTATTGCATCTTCTTCTTCACAATACCCCATAGATTTTCTATGGGGTTAAGGTCAGGAGAGTTTGCTGGCCAATTAAGAACAGGGATACCATGGTCCTTCAACCAGGTACTGGTAGCTTTGGCACTGTGTGCAGGTGCCAAGTCCTGTTGGAAAATGAAATCTGCATCTCCAAAAAGTTGGTCAGCTGCAGGAAGCATGAAGTGCTCTAAAACTTCCTGGTATGTGGCTGCGTTGACCCTGGACCTCAGAAAACACAATGGACCAACACCAGCAGATGACATGGCACCCCAAACCATCACTGACTGTGGAAACTTTACACTGGACTTCAAGCAACGTGGATGAAGTGCCTCTCTTCTTTTCCTCCAAACTCTGGGACCTTGATTTCCAAAGGAAATGCAAAATTTACTTTCATCAGAGAACATGACTTTGGACCACTCACCAGCAGTCCAGTCCTGTTTCTCTTTAGCCCAGGCAAGACGCTTCTGACGCTGTCTGTGGTTCAAGAGTGGCTTGACACAAGGAATGCGACAGCAGAAACCCATGTCTTTCATACGTCTGTGTGTGGTGGTTCTTGAAGCACTCACTCCAGCTGCAGTCCACTCTTTGTGAATCTCCCCCACATTTTTGAAGGGGTTTTGTTTCACAATCCTCTCCAGGGTGCGGTTATCTCTCTTGCTTGTACACTTTTTTCGACCACATCTTTTCCTTCCCTTCGCCTCTCTATTAATGTGCTTGGACACTGAGCTCTGTGAACAGCCAGCCTCTTTAGCGATGACCTTTTGTGTCTTGCCCTCCTTGTGCAAGGTGTCGATGGTCGTCTTTTGGACAACTGTCAAGTCAGCAGTCTTCCCCATGATTGTGTAGCCTATAGAACTAGACTGAAAGACCATTTAAAGGCTTTTGCAGGTGGTTTGAGTTAATTAGCTGATTAGAGTGTGGCACCAGGGGCCATCAATTTTGAACCTTTTCACAATATTCTAATTTTCTGATATGATGAATTTGAGATTTTCATTTGTTGTCATTTGTAATCATCAAAATTAAACAAAATAAACATCTGAAATATATGAGTTTGTATGTAATGTATGAATATAATATACAAGTTTCACTTTTTAAATGGAATTACTGAAATCAATCTACTTTTTCATGATATTCTAATTTTATGACCAGCACCTGTAAAAGCATTATTCCAGACCGGATGAATCTCCACATAAAAACATTATTCCAGACCGGATGAACCTCCATATTAAAGCATTATTCCAGACCGGATGAATCTCCACATAAAAACATTATTCCAGACCGGATGAACCTCCATATTAAAGCATTATTCCAGACCGGATGAATCTCCACATAAAAGCATTATTCCAGACCGGATGAACCTCCATATTAAAGCATTATTCCAGACCGGATGAACCTCCATATTAAAGCATTATTCCAGACCGGATGAACCTCAACATTAAAGCATTATTCCAGACCGGATGAACCTCCATATTAAAGCATTATTCCAGACCGGATGAACCTCCATATTAAAGCATCATTCCAGACCGGTTGAACCTCCATAT